AAGCTGAGGAAGACAGAAGCCCATGTTTTGATTGTCCCCTGCTACCCCAGCCAGGGTCCCTGCTCTTCACCCTGGTACCACCCTGACCCCCTTCCCCAGTGCTGCCGGCTCGCCCCCGCTGCCACAGCAACACACATGCGGGAGGCCCACGTGTGAGCACCAAGCCCCGCACCTCCCAGCAGGAACATGTGCGCCCCGCACCCCCACCTCGCACGTGTGTCCGTGCATCGCCCCCCACCCACCACCCAAATGACCCTCAAGATAAAGCTTGGAAGCCTGAACTTGGCTGGGGCCAATGGTCCACTCGGGCTTAGAACCTCCTCCCCCAGCCCCGCAGCAGCCCCGCCCAGCCCCCTCCGGATTGTCGCCCATAAAGAACTCTCCGTTGTCATGGAAATTAGTGACTGCCAAACCGGAGGGAGGGGGCCCCCAGGGGCAGTTGGGAGGGGCTGGAGACCGCTCTGGGAGCGAGGATGGACTGCTCGGCCCTTGGACCTTACCCCTGTAAGAGGAACCACGAATCTTCGAAGGTTTATGTTTTTTACAATTCGGAGCTTCAGAGGCTTTTCCTGGGACCCTCCCAAGCCGTCCGAGGTAATGGGGAACTTTAGCCCAACCCCGCATGCCACCCCACCTCGCATCTGCAAAAACCTCGCTCTGTGCCCCTGCTGGGACCCCCAGAGTCCTCGCAGCGATCGCGCGCATCCTGCGCGGGGATTTTTCTAGCCATGGAAACAATCTCCCATGACCCTCACAACGTGCATCCAGGAGGCGCCCTCCCCATCGTCCCAGCCCTCCCTGCTCCGCACCTGCAACGCTGGTCGGTCACAGGGAGGAAGCGATAACCGGCTCAGCAGGGCTCCGGGGGCGGCCGGCAGAATCCGCTCCGGGCACGCGGGGCAGACGCGGCGCCAGCTGCAGCCGCTTCGACTCCAGAACCTCCAGCATCGCCAGTCGCTCTCTGGCAGCGGATTCGCACCCCGGGCCGGGGGCGGGCTGGGGGCGGGGCCTCCTCGCCCGGCCCGCCCCCACCCTGGCAGACCCGGAGACTGGAATCCCACTTAAGGGAGGGCGTATGCAGGTTGGCAGCGGAGCTGCTGAACACCTGCTAGGCTCCCTTAGGCCATCGGACTCTAAACCCAGCAACAGGAGGCGAAGGGGGCCTTCCCAGTCCCAAAGTAGGGAGTAAGGAGTGTGGACGGGGATGGGGGGGGGGGAATTGGAGAAAAGCCTGAGCTCTGGAGCGGCACAGAAGTCTCGGGACTAGAAGTAGTCTCCAGGAGGCCAGGGTCGTGCCCAGTTTCCCAAACCTGATCCAAAGGGCTGGACCTACTTAGAACCACATGGGCAGTCCCTAGAGTACCCCCTAGCTAGGAATAAACACAGAGGGGTATGTGTGCATTTGTGGTCAATTTGGGAATGGACAAGATACCACAGTGAGAACCTCAGATCACCCAACCACCAACTCCTACAAAGGCTGAAGTCTTTCCCAACTAAATTCCCAGCCAGGTTGGCTGGCTCAGTCAGCCCCCTCTGTATAGCTCTGAATCTTCCAAACTATAAAAGTCACCTATGATGTAGTGTGGGGTCTGCTTTCTTCTCTTTGTAATAATCCTTAAACACATCCTAAGCAGCATGACTCAGGTGATCTGAGCTAGGATATGGGGTCATGGGACTACTTCGAAAGAGTTTTGAATGAAGACCTAGGAGGCAAATAGACCCAAGGCCCATCCCACTGCCTTCAAGTCATGGACTATCCTGAGACAATAAAAAAGGCCAAATTTATGGGGCGGGAGGGGCGGGGAGCAGAAAAAAGAAAAAAAAAAAAAAAAGGCCAAATTTAGGTTTTTCATTGTCTGGATCTGGGCTCCATCCCATCTTGCCCTTCTAGTGAGTTGCCTGGCCCAACCAGCCTGGGAACAGGGTCACATGTTGATCGAGGCTCTTTGCATCACTACCCATAGCTGATGACAGAAGGGACCAACGAAGGGAAGTTGGGGCTGGAGCCAGAAGATTGCAGGAGAAATAATTATCTCAAGGCTTCTGGATTACTTCCTCCAGAGGGGCTGTTGAGACCTTCAGGTGCCCCCCCCCCCCCCCCCCCCCCCCCCCCCCCCCCAGAGAGCATTTCTCTGTGTAGCCCTGACCGTCCTGGAACTCACTTTGTAGACCAGCTGACCTTGAACTCACAGAGATCCCCCTGCCTATGCCTCTCTAATGCTGGGATTAAAGGCGTGTGCCACTACTGGCCAGCTGGGGCCGCCATATCCTTCCCTGCCTTTGGTCACCTCCTCAAGGCCATGCTGTCATTGTATCTGAGCTCCTTGTGTACTGAAGAGTCTTGGCCATACACCGGTCCCAGGACCAGGTAGGAATCTTTCGGCAGGCTAGGCAGAGCCTATCTCTAGTCTCACAATGCTCAACTGATGTTTGCAGAATGATCGAAAGACCTGGCACGCAATCCCTTCTATCTATTATTCCCCAAAACAGTGGGCCTCTGAGTTTATGGTATAGCCAAGACATGGCTTGCATAACTCGCATTTTTCATACATGTTTTCCACCTTTCTTAAGGGTCATGATTTATCCAAGCATGGGGCCCAAGAAGCTGGATTAGGGCTTTAGAGTCAGGGGAAGGGGTGGTTCCCTAGAGCTTTGCCTGCTGCTGGCAGTATTCCACCTCTTCTTGGTCCTGTGCACACTGTGTGCACGTGGGTGACAGCACGTGGCAGGGTGCATGTGTACACGTGAATGTGTATGCTCTCTCCTATCAAGGGAGATGGAAACAGCACAGTGTATGCAGTGATGCCCAGGGGCACGTGTGTCTGTGTTCCCTGTGCACCCAGGCGTGCTGGCTGCCACATGTGCATGGATGCAGCAACTAGTCCCCAGAGCTGTGGTTCCCCTTCCTGTCTGACACAAAGCTTGGCATTGTGGAGGCTGAATCAAGCTGTAAGAGCAGGACAGAGGAAGGGGGCTGGATCGTGCCCAGGGCAGGCCAGGTCTGTGACAACTTTATGTCATCACTGTTTCCAAACTCCACTCCAGAACCACCCCTTGCTTTCATATGTGTATGAGGATAGACAAGTTTTTGTCATTTGTGGAGGGTAACCTGAAGGCATGGCTTGCCCCTCAACTTCCCAGGGAGACACAAGGTAGGATCAGCTTCAAGGTTTAGGCTTCAGGCAGCTTCCGGCTGCCCTCTGGAAAACAGGCAATAAGACCCGTCAGTAAAGTGCTTGCAATGTAAGCATGAGGACCTGAATTTCAGCCTCAGAACCGTGTTTAAAACAACGACAACAAAAATTGGGGTGGGGTGGCGCACGCCTTTAATCCCAGCACTCGGGAGGCAGAGCCAGGTGGATCTCTGTGCGTTCCAGGCCAGCCTGGTGTACAGAGTGAGTTCCAGAATAAGCAATGCTTCACAAAGAAATCCTGTCTTACAAAAATAAAAACAAAAACAAAAACCAGGCATGGTGATGAGTATTTGTAATCCCCAGTGCTGGAGAGGCAGAGCCAGGTAGATATATGGGGTTTGCTGGCTAGTCAGTCAGCCTAATTAATACGTGAGTTCCAGGCCAGTGAGAGTCGAGTCGTGTCTCGGAGGCAAACTAGTAAATGTTGCCTGAGGAACAAACAACACAAGGTTAGCCTCTGGCTCCATATGCACCCAATCACACACACACACACACACACACACACACACACACACACACACACACACCACACACACACACACCACACACACACACACCACACACACACACACACACACACACACACACACACACACACACACCCCACACACACACGGGGGGTATGGTAATTAATTTTTTAAAAGACCAGCTTAATCTTATCCTTTCAGCTCTTCCAGGCCATACACTGAATCAGTCCCAAGCTTCACTCTGTTCAAAGCCAGTCCGAGTGAAGGGACATAGCTTCTAGCTATCCATTAGCCACTGGGATAATAAAAAGTCTTAACCCTGTCTTCAAAAACCAAAAACCATAAAAAAAGGTCTTTTGGTGTTACCAATGGCCTCTGCAAGAGCCCTCCTAATGAGAACTCTGGCCACTGAGCATTCAGGAGCTGCCTGGGTTGAGGGGAGGGGAGTCTAGGGAGGAGAAGGGAGCCCAGTTTATAGTTCTGGCCCCCACCAAAGCTAGAGGATCAGAGAGCCAGAATAAGAGGCAGGATAAGATGTGAACTTCAACATCCAAAGAGCCTACAGAGCAGGCTGGAGCCTCAGTACCTCAGCTCTAGCTGTGCTTCCCATCTAGGGTCCAGCACTTAACTACCCTCTCTACTTCCTACCCTGGGTACCAATGGCAGGGCTCCCATGCCCCCTTATTTTGAAGCCCCTGATAACCCAGCTAGAACACCCTCCCAAGGTTTAGAGTCTAAGAGGTACTTGCGTTCTTTACTAGGTTCTTCCCCAAGAAGCACAGATTCTGGCAGACACCCTCCCTTGGAGGCAATGGCCCCCTGTACCCGCAGCCATCTTTGGAATTGCTCAGCTACTGTCCATGTTGCTGGCCTCAGTCCCAAGAAGAAGGCCCAAGAAGGAAGCCGGAAGCAATTCTTCCTCTGGAGCTAGGGGAAGGGGCTGCCCCCCACCCCCACCTCATGACTCACTCTAGGCTGTGTGGGTTATTACATTATGTTTGAAATTACCATGGTAACAAGCTGGCAATCAAGGGTAATTGCACTTGTCGTCAGGGCAACAGGGCAAAACCCCACAGCAGCCATTTTATGTGGTTGCCCTTGGGGTGCAGTAAGGTCAAACCAGATTAGAGATAATGATGACCAAGGGGCTCTGGGGGTCTCTGAAAAGGGCAAGTTGCCAGGGCTCGTGAGGTTCTTGAGTGTTGGAAGTTAGGTATGCCTTGGGAGAACCAGGATCCCCCTCATTGACCCCATGTCTGGAGTCTTGTCTTACCCACACCACCCTCCACCTAAAACATGCAACAGTACTTAAAGTGAGCAGAACCAGAAGTTTATGTGCTCATAGCTGGTACTTGTAGATAGCCCACGGGCCCTCCTCTTCGTATTCCCTGCGGCTGAGCCACAGGCTTTGGAAGGAGTTCCGGCATGCCATGATGGAACCCCCAAGCCAGGCAGCAACTGCGCGGTGGGGAGAACCCAGAACAGTGGCACCAGGGCCCAGCTCCTGTCTCAAGCGCTCAGGGAAACCATTCACCAGGGTGTTACCACCTTCCAGCACCACATTGGCCAGCAGCTGCTCCTGCTGCTTGGCCTCCAGCCGGCTGATACTTAGCAGGGCCAGCTGTGGGAGGCCTGGCTGGTTGAGACCTAGCAGATTGGGTTGAAAGAGAGCCTCGGGGCAACAGAAGCGCTCAGAGCCCAGTGTGATAACTTGCTTATCTGGGAGTACAAACTCCACCTGGGCCTGGGACTGGTTTTGGGCCATCTCAGCTGCCATATCCATAGCCACATAACAGCAGGCCTCTTTAATCTGTCTGACAAATTCTGCCTTGGGTGGTGAGTGGCCACCTGCTAGGAGCAGCTGAGCCAGGTAATTAGTGAGATCAGCACCAGCCACATCCAGCCGGTAGGTGTCAAGTGGAGCCAGGTCCCCAGTGAGGATGGGTGCCACATAGGAGGTCCCGTGGCCGCTTCCCACCACAAGGCCCGTGGTGCGCCCGTAAGCGTAGAGCGTCAGGAGAGCCTGGTGAACTGTCTGCATAGCTGGCACACGGAAGCGCTCGAAGAGTATCTCGGCCACCTTCTCTCGGTTGGTTCGCGGGGAGATGGGGGAGTCAGCCACGAGCACAGCCATCTCCTCAGGCTGCACTCGGAGCTTGCAGTAGAACAAGTGTTGCCACAGCACCTCTAGAGCATCCCAGTCAGAGACCACGCCTCGGTTCAGTACAGAGTAGGAGCCCTCTTGCTGTTCGGGGACCACATACTGGGGCTGGCCCTGGGTTGAATGCTGCAGCATCTGGACTTGCGAGGGTACCACACTGAGGACATGGTCCTCTCCAGCCAGTCCACATTTGGTAAACCCTGTGCCTGTGTCAATCACTATGGCTGCCATGTTCTGGTAGGGACTCGATGAGTGGTGACAAAACACTGGTGACTGGACCGGCCGGGCGTCCACAGTGGGTACTAACCCGTAGCAGTTCCCATGGAGAAGGCCCAGGTGTGCCACCGCCGACGAGCGTGTAACAGCCTCAGCTGCCAACTTGAACTGATGTCCACTCTGGGACTGAGGGCCCACCATGGATATGGGCAAGTCTTTACAACCAGTGAATGTGATCAGTTGCTCCTGGTGGGCCCTGTGGGAGTCGCTAGGTTGCCAGGATGGGAGCGGATGTATGCTGGATCTCTGAGCACTGCTGTTTCCAACTTTATCTCTGTTCACATGCATGCAGGCCTCCTCAGGTGCCAGGGGGACTCGGAGAATTCCCACGTGTGTCGGATTGCCCAAGGACTCACTCCCCTGGGTGGAGAGCTGGCCACACTCCCCAGAGGTGAAGGTGGGCTCATTGGTGGTGGGGGACTTCACTGTGAGAGGTACCTGTCTGGGGAGAGAAAGTTGTTTGGAAAGAGGAGTCTGCTCACTGAGATGAGGTGTACTAGTAAGGAGGGGCTGACCAGATAGGGAGCCCTGCTCAGCTACAGGTAGCTGTCTAGCAAGGAGGTTCGGCCCATTGAGGAAACTCTGACCAGTGAGGAAGGCCTGCTTAGTATCTTCAGCCTGAGGGCCACTAGGCTGAGCAGAATTGACCTCTTTCTGGTTATTGCTGCCTACTTCCTCCTGGAGTGGAGATCTGGATAGTCTCTGGGTATCGGCTGTTGAAGCAGTATCTGGCTTTATCCACTGTGATTTCCTAGTCTGGACCGTGGAACTGTCTTGCATTCTGGGAGAGTCCAGCATCCAGATGGTGTGGCTAGGGTTAATCGTTTCAGCCTCAGATTTGGACCAACTAGAATCAGGGCCTTGGACCGGTGTCTTTTCACCATATTGGAGGGGTGTCCCCGGTACAACAGGTCTAGCAAGCATCCCGATCCTGATAGGGGTCTCAGTGCCAGGGGAATTCCGGGGCTGCAGGTTGTGTCTGGCCTCTTTGGAAACCAGGGTTACCTCTGGGTAGCTTGAAGCTGAGAGACTGGAGGGCACAGGGCTAGACAACATGGCTGTGGTGGACCACAGGCTGGGGTGGTCACTGTTAGGGGAGAGGATCGGCCTGGACAACAGCCGAGAGGACAGCATATTTTCAGAGGTGTGAATCGATGGATGGTTGGGCGTGAGGCCTACAAGCACTGCCCGTGAGCCTGTGGGATCGTGGCATAGCAGCCCCATCCTGGTGCTGCCTGTGGCTATATCAAATACCAGCACATGGTCTTCTACAGCATCCTGGAGCTGGCAGGTCGGAGCACTAGAAATGGGAATCTGCATGGCTTCTCTGGGAGTCTGGGGCGGGGACTGCTTGTTGCAGATTCTGTGATTGGCAGGCAGTGGCACATTGGAACAGTTGTTGTTGTTACAGGCATTGGGGAGCTGCTTGTCTGGCTGAGAGCTGCAAATCTTGGGGCTACTTCTCTGTGTCTTGAGAGCAGCTAGAGGCCCTAAGGCTGGTGTTGAGGTATCTAGCCTGGAGGCGTGGACCAGAGACTTCTTTACAGGATCCTCAGATTGCTTGGGTGGCACCTGCATCTTGTTAACATCTTGCTCCTGGATGTGGGCTGGAAAGTCTATTGGAGTAGGTGTTGGAGTGGGAGGAGTCTCCTGAAGGGGAAAACACCCTTTGTCCTTTTTGAAAGAATCTAAGAGGGTGAGCAATTGGTTGCCATCATTCTTGAGATCAAGAGGCAGGTCTTGCGTGGCCACGGTGGTATTAGTCAGGTGGTGGGGGTTAGAGGTGTAGGGTTCAACTGCAGCAGGCATTGGTGTTCTATTGACAGCTGGAGTAGAAGCTTGAATTGAGGTGAGAAGAGGTAATAATGATGAAGTTGTCTTATTTAGGCTAGGAGCCTGAGCCAGATCTGGACCCTTGTCCTGCCCCTGATCTTGGACTGGAGCCTGAACCAGAGTCTGAAGAGGATCTTGACCTTCAACTGCATCACTCTCTCCTAAGAGGAGGTAGGGGAGCCATCGGCTCTTCCTGGGACCCACAGGGGCCGTCTGGCCAATGTTACAGGTTCCTTTGCCCCAGCCTATCAGAACTTTAGCTGGAGCCTTGCTCTCCCTCCCAATCTGTAAGTGACTCTGGGAGAGGTTGAATCCATACTGGGCTTTGTCATTGGTGCTGTCATTGTTCATGCACAGTGGTAGAGTCTGAGTCCCATCGTCCATGAGGAGATGCTCTTGGGTTCCCACGGTGGGGTTTGGAAATAGTTTAGAACAGGAGAATCTCGGGGTGTCTTGGGAGGCCTGTGCATAATTACACTGGGAGCTGACCTGAGCAGAATCCTGGAGTGGTTGGTGAATAGGCTGAGAGGGGGTAGCCTGGGAGGTTGAGCTGCAGGTCACATCAGCGATGGCCCCAGTGGACAATGACAACCCCTGCTTCGAGTATAGGAATCTTGAGCTCATCCATGGTCCCTGGGACCCTCTGAAGCCACCCCTTAGCTGCTGGCTGCCAAGCAGGGGATGGCCCTGGGGGCCCGATGGATCAGGGCCCCCCACCTTCTTGGTGGCTTCCATAGTCTTGCTCCATGCCCTGGGTGCCCTGCCCCCACTTCGTTGCCATGGTGACCCCACACAATCACTGCCCCCAGTGACCTGGAGAGTGACAAAGTATGGGATAACAGGGGCCCCACCCACTGAGGGGGGTGCTTCTCTGGAGACTTTAGGAGGTGGAGGAACTTAGGGATCTCAATGACATTAGACTGCTATAGTTCAGCTTTGTCCCTACTTAACCATCAGTGACCACTCTATCCAGGCCAGCCCCTGAGTGAGGGCAGTGTCCCAGAGAGGACCAAGGTAAGGTCAAGGGAGAAAAGCAGTCAGGGAAGCCCGAGGGCCCTTTGCAAGCGCAAAGCCTCTTTACTATTTTGTCTAAGCGACAGAAGAGGGTGAGGGGCCCAGGCTCAGCCCCAGGCTCCCCTCCCCTGTTCCCTGCTTCTGCTCCCGCTCCAGGGACAGCAGCTCCTTGGCAGTCTCTGCTACTCCAGATGGTTTTCCTCTGCTTGTGCCTCAGAGAGCCCCCTCCCCAGAGCCACATGTCCCTAAGGCCCAGGACCAGTATCTTGCAGGAGTGGGTATGGGGGTGGTGGAGGTGGGGCCTCTACTCAGAATCTTCAAGTCAGAATGTTCTAGCTCCTGTCACATTGTGTCAGTTTCATCCCGGCCGTAATGAGAGCACGGCACTAGGCACAGGCCTAGGCTGCAGTAGCCACACTGTTAACCAAGTGCCACTTACAAGATGGGGAATGATCGGGACATAGTAGGAATAGGGCCAGCCTCACAGTCGGGACATGGCAGGTGTGAGACTGAGCACACAGTGGGCGTGCTCAGTATTGTATATACTGTATTGTAGACACAGCAAGGGCAAGCTAGACAAAGCTCTGGATATGGATAGACATGTAGAAAATGTAAGCTTTTAGGCTTGATCAGCAATTCTCCCTCTTTTCTTTGATGGGGAAACAGAGGGGTAGGAAGGAATCAAATCTACTTGGACCAGCCCCTTAGATCCGGGGCTTCCGAGTCTCAGCACTGCTCCTCTACAGCTAGAGGACAGGTCATTGGCATGGGTCTACTTCTGGAAGTTCTTCCTTGGGCAGTCGAACGCTCCTTCCTCCTCCAGCTCTGAGTCTAGGCCTACCCCCTCTGTCTTCCAGGGCTGTGTTCCCTTCAGGCCTCAGTCTTTCCACCCAGGAAACAGGTTTGTGGAGAATGCAGCTGGAGGCTTGTCTTCCTCTGAAGCAACATGTTTTCACAGAGGTTAAAAATAGTGTTTACAGTTGGCCGTGGGGTGTGAGGCTATGTGACCAGGGACTAAGGCTGGTACTGTGCTGTATCCGCACCTTTTTGATTGGCTGCTGGGCAAAGCCTGACTCAGCCACATTTCAGGCCCCTTGTGCCGCCCTCCCTTTTCAGTTAAGATAGGGAACAGGCAGCTTGGATTCCTGGGAACCAAATTGCTTATTACTGCGCTGTGCCTGGGAAGGGTAGAAGAGCCCACGGGTCTGCGGGCTCTCAATCTCTCTCTCCTCTCTCTCTCTCTCTCCTCTCTCTCTCTCTCTCCTCTCTCTCTCTCTCTCTCTCTCCTCTCTCTCTCTCCTCTCTCCTCCCTCTCTCTCTCTCTCCTCTCTCTCTCTCTCTCTCTCTCTCTCTCTCTCTCTCTCTCTCTCTCTCTCACTCACACACACACACACACACACACACACACACACACACCCTTGCAGAACACAATTCATTAATCTCGGGTCTGAGCAAGCTACTTGTTTCTCCGTGACAAAGATCCTGGTAGCAGCCTCTAATATCTATGCGATATAAAGTTGAGCTGTACCTGGGAAGAATGGAGCAGTGAAGTGAGATATCCTAAGAGATACCCTGGCCCCTGCTGCCCACTTGCTTGATGACTGAGCTCATTGTCTACCTCATTCAGAAGTGAGGTATAACCCCCTTTTCCAGGGCTGGGGTCCTTTGTGAGCAACTGTCCTGAGGTCTCTTAGAGGGAGAGAGAGAGAGAGAGAGCAGAGGCAGCTGAAGGGTCTGGCCCAAGAAAGCAAGCCCTTCCCACTTGTGAAGCAGACAGACCTTAGAGCTATGATAACAGTGACTGGTGTGGACCCCATTCTTTCTCTGTGTGGGACACATGGGACGCAGCCTGACAGCAATTCAACAAGCGGGGTGCAACAGCGTCAGTATTACAGATGAGGAGACCGTGGCAGAAAGCAGTTGTGGAGCTGAGTCAGACTTGGAAGCTAGGTTCCCTGACTCCGGACCCATATTGGAGGAACAGAGGGTGCTACCACTGGGTGCCACTCCAAGGCCACGCAGTACTGAGCCCTGCTGGAAGAGAGCCAACCAACAGGCCTCCCTTTGGAGAGGGAGCTGCAGCCCCAAGCCCCACACTTAAAGCTGTGTCTCTCTTGTACCTGCTCCCTCTGGTAACTTAGCAAGTAGCTCAAGGCCTGGGAAAGGTTATGTTCTCTATGGGGGATACTAACCCAGTACCCTCCTAGGAACTTGACGGTACTGAATGTGGCCCAGCTGCACCCTGTGTGGCCAGGCTAATGCCCTCTGTCGTTAGAATTCTTGACTGGCTGAAGCCCATTCCTGTCTCATCCAACTGAGGAGGCAGGGTGAAGAAGCTTCCAGTCTAGGTCCCTTTTGCTTGGCTCATGGGGATAGTGCCCCTGTGCCCCCCCCCCCCCCACACTTGTTTTTTAAATAGTCTCTCTCCAGGAAGAAGGGCGTCCAATTCTATTTCTGATTCTGGGAAGTGAGGAGGGCCAATGTGTTGCCATGGTAACCTAAAAATCCCCTCCCCCAGGCTAAGCCCATTCCCCAGGCTGAGGGCCTGGGAGGGTGGGGTAGAAGGGGTGGCTAGGAGAAGCCGAGCAATTCAGTTTGAGGGTGAAGTCGGTGTGTCTCCCCTGTGAAGGCAAATGCCCAGCTTGGCCTTCCCTCTTATACTTCATCTTAACCTTCCCAACAAGCACTGTGGAAGACCCCAACCTTGAGGAGAAGGTCCAGTCACCCTGGGAGAAAATGTTGTCCCCTACGGGTCAGCTGAGGTCTTGTCACCTAACAGGCCCTAGGGAATGTGGAAGTGACAGACAGGGCATCAAGGGAAGAAGGGAGGTTGCTTATGGTCTACCAGTTCTTCGACCCCTAGATCAGCCTGGCCTACTTGCCCAACACAGACCCTATTTGGGGCGCCCTTGTATTCTTAAGCAGCAGCTAGCTCTGTGAAATCCAGGTTTTGCACTCTTCCAGTACACCTGCCTTCAACACTTTGGGCCCTGGGGATGCTCCAGACATCTTAGAAAACTTAAGATCAGAGGGCTTCTTCAGTGGTCTCCCAGTGTGGTCCTACGCTGAGCAGCGGATCAGAAACTGCGGCTTATTTCCCTGGGGCTTTGTCTTGGGGCCTTGTACATCAGCTTAAGCGCTCCCAAGGCTGCAGATCCGTAGTTTTAGATCTGTGTAGGGAGGGCGTTCCATCTAGCAGAGCCCAGACAAAGGAAGGCTTCTGAAAAGACCCCGTAGGTTCTTGTGACCCAACCCTCTCTTGATGCTGATGGGAAATTGAGAGGGGCCTCAATTTCCTAGTTGTTTGCCTGCCCCCCCCCCCCGCACCCTCCAGAGCAATGCGAGAGACCCCAAAGTCCTAGACCCTTGGCAGCCCCGCAGTTTATCCTGGCCAAGGTTCACCCATTCCATGGAGACAAAGCCAGTCTGTGAAGGAGTTGGCATCTCCTGATCCCTGTCCCACCTGCACAACCCCAGAGGAAGACAGCCAGAGACAAGAACCCCAGCCTCAGGCAACTTAGAGAGGGTGAGGTGAGATAATCCACTCCTAATCTGGGATGTGGAAGGCAGAAGCCACTAGCTCTGGGGGGATATGGCTTCGGAGCTCCAGGCACAGAGAAATTTAAATAACAGATGTTTAAACAGCCTTCCCTGCAAGCCGCTGGTGCAGTGACCCCTCTGCTGTGATGTGTTGCAGCTTAAAAATAGCCCACAATGAACCGCTCTGAGCCCCAATTGACTCAAGCTTACGTAACTCTGCGTGAAAGATAGCCAGCCGCATCAGCCAGAGGGAGGGCAATGGTACAGCCACCCTGGTTACTGCTCACAGCTGCCTGCTCCTTGCCTCTACTGAGAGCAGACCCCCATCCAGAAGCCAGCTAAGTAAAGGGTGAAAGAATCCTGCCAGAAGCACACATGGTTTCATGGCTACAGCGCAGGGATCTCCAACTAAGCCTGCAGAGAGGATGTGAGGAGAACCAGGGACCCGATAAGACCCAGATTGTGGGGAGAAAATGATGAGCTAAAGAGACCAGAGCACCCAGGTGACAGGGTGACTGGAACTGACGGGGTATTCATTTTCCCCCTTGAGAAGGGGGCTTCTTGACTTGACAGAACAGGTCAGCAAAACTTATTCATGTGTGGCTGACACTAGCACATTGAGCCCGGGGATGGAGCCAACTCCCTTGAGGCCTCCAATTCTCCAAGGCACAGCAACATCCCTGGAGGAACAGCAACATCCCTGGAGGAACTTGTAGCACGGGAGAGGGAGTGCCGGCTTCAAAGCTAATTGAATTCTGTGCTATTTGTTATCAGCTACTTCTCTACTGGACCCTAGATCCACAACCGGCCACAAGCATGTACAAATCACTAAGCCAACTGAAGGGAAGCAGAGGGGAGAGGTGAGGGTCTCTTCAACATTGAGAGCATTGGCACTCATTGGTCACTCCCCCGGTGCCCATGCTGACCCCCTTTAATGAGTCAGTAACTTTTCTCAGTTCCTACCAACTGAACTCGAAATAGGAATCGCCACAGGCCAGATCCCCTGAGGTCCAATGGAGCAAGGGTAAGACAAAGCATATTGGGAATCTCAGGCCAGACTGTGGCTCCCCATCAAAGCAGGTCAGTCTAGTCACTGCATGCCTTCCAGGTGCGAGACGACAGTGACACCAGTGGGCAGTCAGGAGGCTGTGAGTCATCCGTGCAGTCCCAGCTCCCACCCTGGCTTCCCTTAGTCTTTATGGGCATTTCCTCGCCCCTCGGCCCCACTCGGTTGTCCCGGAAGGAGACAAGACATGTTTGTTTGGAACAGGCTCTCATGGAATCCAAGCTGGTCTGGGGCTTATTATGTAGCCAAGGTTACCCTTGAATTCTTGACCCTCTGGCCTTCACCTCCCAAGTGCTAGGATTACAGGTGTGTACCATCATGCCTGACTTGAAAGGTTAGTAACTTGCTGTCCACAGCTCTTAGTGGGAAGGGTAGACTCCAGAGTCCTGGAAGAAAACTCCAATCACACTATTCTAACCTTGGAGGCTTAGGCCTAGCAAGGCTGTTAATGAGGCTGTACCATTAGCCATTCACTGTACCTGAGCAATCTCCCAGCCACCATACACACACACACGCACACGCACGCACGCACACACACACATACACACACACACACGCACACGCACACGCACACGCACTTACACACACATACTAGAAGAGAGTTAGACCAGCCTCACTCAGCCAAAAAGGCCATTCAGAAACCTCCTAGTATGCCCAACCTATCTGGGAACCTAGAACCCCTCTATATGCCACACCCCCACCCCAGCTCAGTCACCATTTTGAAATCCTAAAACAATTCCAACTCCTGACACCCTAGAATCTGGAGCCTAGATGGACTTGGGACTATCAGATGATTGAAAATGGGGCTCAGAGCTTGGGAGCTGCTGAATGTGTGTGGGGTGCAATCCAGTACTTCAAGTACCTGCTTAGCTGGATGGAGCTCCTTTCTGGATCATTCTGACCCTGGAGGCCTTTGGCTCAGGAATTTCATGTTAGTGGGGTCACTGCCCAAAGAATTTATTTTACCCTTCAAATTTAGGGTTTTCTGGCTTAACAGGGTATATCAGCAGGATATAAGTGCTTGCCTAAAGTATCCCCAAGTGACAATCAGACCCCAAATCCCACATTCTAGCAACATAGGAAACCTGATACCCCTGTAGCTCTGCCTCTCGCTGCTCCCTTCTTTGGGACCCTTTTCTATGCTAAGGTCCCCTCTGTCCAGAGTCACCCTTCCTTTCTGATCTTTCTAGTGAGCAGATGAGCCGTGGGGAATAAACCCTTCACATCACCTCAATTCATGGCTTAGAACTCTTGGGTGCTCCCTTTGGGATGAGGTTAGGAGATAAAGACTACAAGTTGGGGGGATGCAAACCCCTCCCAGAAGGTACAGGGGCCACAGCTGTGAGGGTGCCTCAGGAAACTCCATTACCTCTCTCCAGTATCAGGAACAACACAGCTGTTCCGTCTTCAGTTACATATGGCCAAGCAGTCCATGCCTAGGTCTGCAAGGCCACAGCTTCCTCTGTGCCTGGGCTGAGAGGTAGCAGGGGTGCCAGAAGCGGGCAGTTTCCCCTGCCTTCTGCTCCCAGGACCCTCACCTTTACACCTGTTTCCCAGCTGAAGGGTCCCTTTTATACTTTAAACACATGTCCTTAGGGACCTTTGGATCCCTAGACCTTCTTTCCAGCCCAAGATGCCAGGGCAGGTAGCAATATGGGTAGAAAACATCTGGATGGCTGCAGTCCCAAAGAGACCTCATTTAGGAAAGAACTCTGCCTCCAAATCTTGAATCCCACTGTGACGGCATTTCTAAGGTACTCACAGGAAGGGGCCTTCCCCTTCTTACAGACCTAGGAGTCATCCAACCAGAGGAGTGGAGACCAGTGGGAGCTTATTCAAGGGAGAGTTAATATTGAGATCTCTATCTGGGGCCCGGGCTCCCCTGCACTCCAGCTCCTAACACCAAAAACAAGGCCCCTTCAGCAGTCAGAGCAGAGGGGAGGGGTAGGAGGTGGGGTTAACTTCTCCTCCAGAGAGGAACACGCCCCTCAGTAGCTATGCTGTAGTGTCCTTGAGGGTATAAATAGCTGGGGAAATTGGTCCTTCGAAGTTGGCTCCTTGCAAGTTAGAGCTGATGCCTCTCTGAGAGGTCTTCCCTCTCAAGGCTGCAGATGCAAGGCTGGCAAGGGTAGGAGGCAGACAAGTCCACGAACCGTGACATCAATGTACATGGATGTGCACTACATAGGGGGCCTAGAAGCACTGCTGAGGGAGGAGCGGTGGAGTAGCTAGTTCGAGCCCTGGAAGAAACCATCTTGGCTGTTGCATGCTTGGACACTCAACCTATACCCCCTTGGTTCATCCAATAGTCCACAAGGCCCTGTAATTGGATCTGGACATGTTTACCCTCCCTATTCTCTGGAGCCTTCTAGCGGACTCAGCACCACAGGGCCTTTGCACATGCTAGTTACTCTGCCCAAAATCTCTTAACCGAATTCAGCTTCTAATAGTCTATCTTCACCTGAAAGAGCTTTGGCAAAGATATCACCTCCTGGGAGCCTTCTCTCACCTCTCCAAAGCAATCCTCCATTCCCTCAATGTGCCTCCTTTCTTTCACAGCATATACCATAATCTGTGCTTGAATATTCATTTATTTTTTAGTGGTTTACACTGTGGTATCTGCATGATCATTGCTGAGTCTTCTGTGCTCAGCAGACAGGGTATAAAACAAGCATTCCATAAATACATGCTACAAAAGAATCCCCCTCACTGGCTCATGCTGGAGTTAGGGGCTTAAATGTGCTGTTTCCCACCTCCAGTAGCTTCTGAAAGTTAAAGGTGGAGGTTCAATGCCCTTCAGCTTGTCATAGCCCAGAGGCAGGTTGGGGTTAGCTCAAGGCCACTTAACAGATATAGTCCCCTTGGTCTACTGAGGGCTTAGGTCAAGTGGGCAGAGGAGGCTCTGAGAGAGGCCGGGGCCTTGATGTGCTCCTGTGATGCTGTGGCGAGGACTGTGGCTGCTCTGGAAGCACATTCACATCATCCAAGGCGCTGGGACCTAGGTTCACATAAGCTGGGGACAGCTGCACGTAGTGGTCCCCAAGCAAAGAGCTCACTACCTGCTCTACTTCCATCACTAGGGTTCTGAAGGTGGGTCGCGCTGCTGGGTCAGCCTCCCAGCACTGCAGCATCACCTGGTACCTGTAAAAAGAGGGATATCAGGTAGAGGGTGTCCTCCTACCCAGGGGTTCTGCAGCCCAATCCCTGTTGGACAAATAGAGATGAAGATATGTGACAGGGCCTAGAGCCCCATCAGGACAGCACTGGCTCTTCTCATCCCTGAGATGCCTGGCAGAGGTCCAGATGCATCAGCAGTAAAGAGTTTTCAATGACTATGCCCTGGGGCCTTCTCTGTGTGATCTTAGGTGTGTTCTCTAACTTTTCTGTGCCTAGATGGCTTCTTCTGACCACACAAGGTAAAAAGACAGTTGTGAAATCCTCAGCACATGGCTAATAGGCTCACAAGCAAATAGGATCATTACACCTTTTCCAGATGAGATATAAAGTGAGGATTAAACCCTGCAGAGAGAGTTGGGCATGGCGACACACACCTGTAATTCCAGCAGTGCTGGGAGGTGGAGGGAGGAAGATCAGGAGTTCAAGATCAACTTTAGCTACAGAAATGGTTCGAGGCCAGCCTGGTCTACATAGTGAGTTCTAGGATAGCCAGAGATACATAGTGATATCCTGTCTCAAAAATAAACCAACAAACACACCCAGGCACAGTGAAACATGCCTTTAATCCCAGAATTTGGAAGGCTGAAGCAGGAGAATCAGCCTGTATTCAAGGCTAGCCTGGGCTACAGAGACCCAGTCTCAAATAAATATAAATAAATAAATAAATAAATAAATAAATAAATAAATAAATAAATAAATAAATAAATAATAAAACCTCATTAAAAAAAAAAAAAAAGAAAAGAAAAAACAACAACAAAAACCTCTGCAGCAAAGAAGTCCCGGAAAGTTCAATGGGGCCTGAAAGAGAAGCATCTGGAGTAGCTCTAGCAGCACAGCGGTTTTGAAGCTGAGGTTCTGTGGGTTGGCCCGCTGGATCTTAGAGATGCCTTGTCATCGTAGGGATGGCATCCTGCCTTAAATTATAGTCTAAGTGTTTCAGACTCTCTGAGGGGCGTGTTGCTATAATACCCACTTTACAGATGAGCAAAACAGAGCCCAGCAAGGAAAAGGGACTCGCCCTACTGAGTGCACTCTGCCGTGTGCCACTTAGATCCCCTTTATTTTTTCGCTGGCTGAGAGTGTTACCTGTTGATGGCTCTTAGCTCAAGCCTTCTCTGGGCAGAAGGGAAACATGTTTTCCAATCTCACGTCTGCTCACCAGGGACAGCTGTGACAGTGACTGACTAATGCCTGGGACACAGACCCGGCCCCTTGGTCTCAATTTCTGAAAATTTCTGAAGGGCCAGCCCAGCTCCCACAGTGCTGTAGAAGCTTCCATCTTCCCATGCTTGTCATAGCCACCCTCTCCCTCGGACAAGCCCTGTCTCTTTTGTCTCCCCAAACCTACACTAAAGCCCCCCACATAGAACTCTCCACCTTACTCTGTTCAGAGAGCCTGTCTTAGATACAGGCAGGCAGGAACGTTAATTTCCCTTACTTCACACTGTATTCATTACTAAAACAGATAACAGAAAGGTCAAGGCCAAGATGGGGAGAGCTCTGAGAACTACTCACACTCTTTCTGGAGCACAGGACAGGAGTCATCAACAGCTCTACCTGTGACCTGGTTCTGCCTGTTCCAAGCGTGCAGACCTGAGCACAGCCGAGGTATGCCTGCTGATTAGGGAGCCAAACCTACCCCACGGGCACTGATGATGACACAGCCACCGTCATCCCTTGGGAATGAAAAACCCTGAACTACATGCGGTGAAAAAGCCCTGATGGAGAGAGCAGAGGGACTGGTGTGGGAGCTAACGAAACCTTCCTTTGAGGCTGAGTGAGAGGCAGAGATGGAAAACAGCCCCTCTCTCCCTTTGCAGGAGTGGGGTGGGGAAAGAGATCTGGGAAACCAAACCACTGGCCTCAACCCAGACTCTGAGTTGGAATGCTGTTACCATGGCAACTGTGAGGGCCTCTCAGAGTCCTTCCTTGCATGGGGGTGGGACCAGTACACAGATAAGTAAACTGAGTCCTAGAGAGGCTCCCTTTCCTGGTCAACCAAAGGGTCAGACAAAAAGCCCGACAGGAGCTTGGTCTCTTGCCGCTTCCTTGTCTCTGGGGCCCAGCCCTGCCCCCCACCCCCAGCCCCCTTTACATACTCACAGTGTATTGGGACAATACTCAGGCTGAGGCAGGCGACGGCCCTGAGCCAGGAAGTCAGTGAGGTCAAAAGGGTTGATATGGGGGTACGGTGGGGCACCTCGGGTTAGCAGTTCCCACAGCAACACACCAAATGACCACTGTTGGAGAAAGGTGAGGAGACTAACTCAACTATCACCCCAAGTCTGCAGGCAAGCGGGTCCTCCAGATCCTCTGTCTCTCAGAGTCCTTCCCTGGAAATGAAGGACCCCACCTCTGTCCAGAGCTCACACCTTAATACAGTACACATTTCTTCCCTCTGTCTCCCACAAGGACCCTACCTCTGTCCAGAGCTCATGCCTTAATACAGTACACATTTCTTCCCTCTGTCTCCCACAAGGACCCCACCTCTGTCCAGAGCTCATGCCTTAATACAGTACACATTTCTTCCCTCTGTCTCCCACAAGGACCCCACCTCTGTCCAGAGCTCATGCCTTAATACAGTACACATTTCTTCCCTCTGTCTCCCACAACTTCAGAGTTACAAGCCCTGGACAGTTCATAAGGAATGAAAGAAGTCACAGACTTCTTTTGCCCTGGCAGATCCCGGATTCCATTTCACATTTGCCCACGACAAATGAGCTATGGGGTTTGCCTAGCCTGGGGAGTGTCTGAGCTCAGATTATGCAGAAGTGAGGCCAAATACTCTAAGGCATGGAGGTCAAGGGGACCTGGAGCAGAGGGTGCCTTACCACATCAGACTTGGTGGTGAACCGGTAGGTCTGAAGGCTCTCCAGGGCCATCCACTTGACAGGCAGGCGAGCATGGCGCTGTTGTCGAACACTGTAGTATTCCTTGTCTAGGATGTCACGTGCCAGACCGAAGTCAGCCACCTTGACTGTGAATGACTCGTCCAGCCTGCGAAGAGGGACTCACACATAGAACTTATGTTCGGCTGGACTGCAGCTCAGTGGCAGAGCACTTGCCTAAGAACTGACTCCCACCAGGTCTTGGGCCCACCTGTCCCAAGCCCTTCAAAGGACTCAAGAACCACACTCTCTAGTCCTATACCAGGCAGACAGAAAAATGCCTAGGGCTGCAGAGCAAAGGGCGGATGGGGTCTTCTCCTAAGGTGACCTTTAGCAGCTGCATATCCCCATAACCTGTCCCTCCGTTTCACCCCAGCTACTCGGCCACTCACATGCAGTTCCTAGCAGCCAGGTCCCTGTGCACAAACTTCTGCTCTGCCAGGTACTCCATGCCACAGGCTACCTGCAGGCCAAAGCTGATGAGGTCCTTCACAGTGGGGTTCTGAAGGCGTGAGAGACAGGTGAGCATAGGCAGAGGTGGGTGCTGGCTGACATCTCCCACCCCGGATGGCAGAGCACTGACCCTCTGAGGGGAGCGAATGAAACGAAGCAGGTCTCCATGGCGCATATAGGGCAGCAGCACCCGGGGAAGCCCCTCTGGGGGTAGCATGATACCGATGAGAGCCAGAATGTTTGAGTGATGTAGGCCACGCATGAGCAGCCCCTCCCGCAGGAAAGCCTCCACCTCCTGGACCTCTGTGATGCCTGTGGAGTAGCATAGGTCAGGCCAAGGGCATAGAGGCCCTTTACAAGGGTCAGATGGAGACTGTCGGGGAAGGTTCCTCTCTGGGTTCACTTGGTAAAGCGGCAGCACAGTAGGGACAAAGGACCTCTCAGCCAAAGGTCACTCTTCTACCCACCCAGCCTATACGTCACTTACGACTCAAAGACTTAATGGCACAGTGGATTTGATTCTGTGCCTCGTCTGTATATTCTCCGTGGTAGACAACACCAAAGTGGCCTAGAAAGAACAAGATGGTAAAGAGGGACCTTAGTGTCGAGACTCACGGCATGCCCTCTATAACTAGCAACCTTGGAGCCCCAAGCTGGCCAGTGTGACATAAAAAACAAGCAGCAGCCACACAGTGGTGGAGCCATTTACAGTCCTCCCATGCCCACTCATCCACACCAGCAGCCGCTGAAGATTAAAGTCTCCAAAGATGACCCCATGGAGGCTCAGAAGTTAAGTAGTAGCCTCAAGGTCATACAAGTTAGTGAGAAGACCAAGGCAGAGTCTACTCCAACTGTCCCTCCAGCACATGTCAATCTCAAGACTCCTCCTCTGCCCCTGCCCCACCTCCCAATCCATCCCCCACACCTTTGCCAATGACTTGGTCACTGTGGATGACCACTCGTTCATGGGGAATCAGTACATCCTTGACCTCGGCCAGGAGCATCCTGTCCAGATCCTTGAGCCGGAGAGACTCTGTCCGCAGCAGTGGGACACTTGTCCCATCCCCACTATCTGAAGATTCTTCACGGCTCAGAGGTCTGGAAGCTGTATCAATGTCAGAGCGTGTTGTTGGGGAGAGGGGGTGAGAGCTTGCGGGGGAGGGGCGAGCCCTGGCTTCCAGTGCCTCCCACCATCTCACCGTGGCCATTTCCTCTGTAGTCAGAGCCAGAGTAGAATGCAGACAGGGGCATGTCTCTGGGAGACCGATCCAGGGATGACAGGTCATCTAGGTTGGGAACAAGGACTGTGGAAAGACAGCCCCTGGTGGTGAGCCTCTCCAAGCTCCTGAGGACCAAGTCCCACTGAGGAAGTGTGGGAGACCCCCAAGTTCTGGGGATTGCAGATGCTACCGTTTGGAGGTACAGGCTGAGTCTAGATGAATGTAGGGGGCTCACCTAGCTGCTTTTTCCGTCTCTGGGAGTTGAAGACAAGGGCAATGGCCAGTGCAGCCACAAGCAGGATCAAGACCAGCAGAGCAATAAGGAGTGTATTCTGTGAGGCCCTGCCTGGGCCTGACCGAACCACTTGGCCCAGGGTGTGACACCCACCACCGACACAGACCTGAAAGCAGATGGCGGTTTCAGCCCAGACTGCAGACGCTCAGCTCATGGTTTCTTACAAGGGCCAACTGTGTCACCTACCTGCAGTGGGACACCATCCTTGCCAAGTTGCAGGGAGGGGGACAGGGGGCAGACCACCACATCCCCCCGAAGCTCGTGTTGGCAGATCTCACCACCCACGGTCACGTTCACACTCACGCAATCTGCCACAGCGCCAAGCCCAATATACTGCAGAGACAGTCATAAGGGTCAGCCAGAGGCTGGACTCTCTCTGAATCGCCACCGTCCCTCCCTACCCTATCCCTTATACCTACCTCGAACTTAACTGAATGCTCTTCAGGCTTCAGTGGGGCTAGGCCAGCTCTGGGCAGACTGGGTGGGGGCAGGAAGCGGAAACCAGGCAGTGTGAAGCCAGCTGCTCCGTCCCCCCAGGCGCTCAGATTCCCGGTTGCCCACCCCTGAGGGTTTCGGACCACATATTCCGGCAGGCGGCACTGACGCTGCTGTTCCAGAAACGGCCCTGCACACTGCTGAGACCCACGTGAAAGTAGTGAGGCAAATAGCCCAGCCCTGACTGCTCCAGGCTCCTCAGACCAGTGTGAGGTGAAGTTGGACATCAGGGCACTGGTCCAGCCTTCCTCCCTCCTGGCCAACACCCGCTCTACTCACCCTGTTCTGCACTGCTCTTTGTCCATCATGGAATAATAACGCCAGGTGCCATACTGAAGCCAGATGCTGGCCATGGATCGTGACATGGGAGCCACTGTGGAGAAGGGAAGGGTGGTGGGTTCAGAGGACTCAGGGAGCTGGTTCTCTCATTTCTTGGAGGCCAAAGCAGTCAAGGAGCTGGCACTTACCTGTAACCACAGTTGGGGGTGATGTCCAACATGATGGGGTCTTCCTTGTAGTGAAAGGTCCAGGAGCCAGGCACCTCCGCACCTCCGATCTGCAGATGAACAGGGACCCTGGCTGTGCCAGCTCCAGGAGGTGTGACACATAAAATCTGTTCCTCGCTGACCCTGCAGGAAGGAGAGATTGGGCACAGGGGCACCTTCTTGTGATGTGAGGCTTACCTCCTCCGGGGTTTAGTAATCCCTCCTACGTGCCCTGTCGGTTGGCTTTCCCACCCACCCATACTCCATGGGTCTGGAGATAGGATGCTCTCAGTAAGACCTCCAAGAAGACAGGGACGGGAACAAGTTCCTGTACCCTTGACTGGAGACAGTGGCCTCTGTGGTAGGCTCTCTTTTCTCTGGGTTGGAAGGAACAGCAGCTCCTTCTTGGAACTGATCCCTACATTGACCATGTGACTGAGCCCCCTTCTCTCCACACTGGCAGTATCTAGGTACCCACTAGTGCGGCTCCCTGGGTGGGAACAGAAGAAAGGGTCTCACAAGTGAGAGGCTGCTTGGTCGTCCCCATCGGGGATAGGGAAGGCAGGGACTACGTTGTACCTGAGGCTTGAGGTGACCTTAGGCAGCAGCCTGGAGGAACCTGTTAGGTTCCCTCAGATATCAGACCAACTCAGGATGCAGATACAAGCTGGAGTCTCACAAGGGCAGGGACCTGTGGCCTCCCATAATCTTGCCTGATAACACTTACTGTTCCAACTGGCACTGAGTTCCATTGACCAGCACAGCTCGGCTGGTGCCTACAGACAGGCTCTGGCCTTCGAGGGTGAGATAAGTACCCCCAGCCCGTGGGCCAAAGTCAGGTTTTATTGATGTCAGCAGTGGTTCCTAAGAATATGGAAATGGAACCTTTCATTCCAAGTCCATCCCTCTGGACCACCCACGGACCAAGGGCAAAGACCGAGCAGTGTAGCCTCACCACGAAAGAGAAGCCTTGCCGAACAGAGCTGCCTTCCACCCGGAAGTGCTTGCCTGCTGGTGTGTTAGCGATGAGAAGGCTCACATTTGTAGTCCCTGCTGCCTGGGTGGCTAGAGGCTCCAGCTCACATTCAAGTTCCTCTGCAAACGCTTTGTGGAACTCTGGCCTGGGGCACCAGGAAGGGAACCCTGAGGTCAGTCAAGAATCACACAGGGCTGGCTGTGTGCCTGCCACAAGTCACGAGGCTTATTGAACCTAAGAATGACATCTACACCCATGCCTTTTTCTGACAGCATACAGGATGGAGTGGGACAGGGTCCCATAACTAAACAGACAAATAGGGCACATTCAGGCTCAAAAAGGGACACGGACATATTAGACACACGAAGCCAATATAGCTTGTCCCTGCCCTTCACAGAACATGGTCTCACAAACGAGGGGCTGCTTGGTCACTCTCAATCAGGGATAGGGAAGGCAGGGGCCATGTTATACCTGCGGCTTGAAGAGTCCTTAGGCAGCAGTCGGCAGGGACTTTGGCCCACGGTGATCTGGTGTGTTCCCTCAGGTACCACATCAGGACGCAGGTAGAAGTTGGAGCCACATAAGGTGAGCCTTGTACTGCCCCTTAGAGGTCCACTGTGAGGATAAAACTGAAGTGGAGAGAACAGCCCACGTTTTTGTGTGGGGTTGGACTCACTCAGTCCCTCCTGCTTCCCCCAGAGTCCCCTGCTATACCTCTGGCCTATCTCACACTCTGCCACTCTAGGTCACATGCTAGTCCTCATTTAGACTTTTTTCCTGCCTCCAGAGCCTTTCTGTGTGCCATCCCCTCTGACAAGAACACCTTCCTTATGGGCGTTTCAGAGCAAGGAAGATCGTGATCAGAATTTTTTGACACCCCTCACACACACCCTGCTTGTCCCTCTGTTACCCGAGCCCCGCTGGGGGAAGCTGTACCTCAGTGATCTCAGGTGGACAGTGGTCCTGTTGCCAGGAGCCAGGACACTCCTCCTGCCGGCCACACCGGTCCCCGCACCAGCCACATCCCATGAAACGCTGTGCTCTCAGGCAGCGCCAACAGGTGAGAAAGTGTCGGCAGCCGGGGCCCTGGATGGGCACCTTGAAGACCTTGGGGTGACCAACAGGTGACTCAGGGATGGTTAAGGGTGGGGACCGGGCCCCAGCGACCCTGCTGCTCCCTTGGTAGATTAGAGAGGTAAGGTCCGCATATCAATGCCTCTCTGGGTTTGACAGAGAGGCTGTGATACCACCACCTGAACCCCACGTTCTGACCCAGCACACCTCACCTGGTCCCCAGAGGCAAAGAGTAGGTCATTCCCAAGGCGACTGACGTCCCGGTGAATAGGCTGCCCGCTGCTTCCCAGGGAGAAGTTGGACACATACAGCAAGTAGCTGAATGACCTGGCTATCTCCACCTGTCATAGGTCAGCTATGAGAAAAATGGCAGGGGACAGGGACAGGAACGCAGAACCAGATGAGGGTGGGTTGAAGGACCTACCTGTAGGATACGCCCGTCTGCAGTGCCCATGTGGGCCACCGTCACGTTGCCAAGGCGTGTCACGTGCAGCGCAGTGACCTTCACGGATCCTAACAGTCCATTGAATAGGTCCACACGTAGGAAGGCGTTGCTGGACAGCAAAGGGAAGTAGTGGCAGCGGAAGCTGGGCGCGGGGCCCTCTACACCTGGCTGGGGAAATCCAGGCAAGGGAAAGAGTCAGGGTTCAGGACTGTGCACTGACTCTTCGGGGCTTTTGTCAGGGATTACAGCCGCTCCAAACTACTATCCCTCACCTTCTTTGACTAGAGGAGGCCCAGAGCCTGCCCCTTACCTACTACTGCCATGCTCACAGGCTCTTGGAGATAGCAAGGGCAGGGAAGAGAGGAGACCCAGTCTAGGGAGCCAGATCCCTACTGAAGGGACTCTGGCCAGTTTGAAAGTAGCGAGTACAGCTCTGACAGGCCTTCCCCGTCTCTCCCATTTCCTCTGCCTTGCTAAAAACAGTTAGATTACATTCCTGAAGCTAGCCATCAAGATCTATTCCCCTATTTGGCCACTTCCTCCTCTTGAGGCTGACTACCAAGGTCCAGCTATCAAGAGTGTTTTTTTTTTTTTTTTGTTTTTTCGAGACAGGGTTTCTCTGTGTAGCTTTGCGCCTTTTCCTGGAACTCACTTGGTAGCCCAGGCTGGCCTCGAACTCACAGAGATCCGCCTCGCTCTGCCTCCCGAGTGCTGGGATTAAAGGCGTGCGCCACCACCGCCCGGCCAAAGGGGGCTTTTGATTGCTGTACTTTAACACTCTTGAGCCGGGCGGTGGTGGCGCACGCCTTTAATCCCAGCACTCGGGAGGCAGAGCGAGGCGGATCTCTGTGAGTTCGAGGCCAGCCTGGGCTACCAAGTGAGTTCCAGGAAAGGCGCAAAGCTACACAGAGAAACCCTGTCTCGAAAAACCAAAAAAAAAAAAAAAAAAAAAAAAAAAAAAAAAAAAAAAAAAAAAAAAAAAAAGCCCCCTTTGATTCACCTAATGAACATGCCCAATTAAAATTAAACACTTCATCCTAACATGTGGGTTCCCCCTTTACCTTTAAAAACTGCCATTTGCCTATGTGCCACGTCTGTCTCCTCTCTATCCAGAGACAGTCCTTTGTCCCTCTGGGGCCAATACCCCTGTCCCTTTTCCCTTGTTCCCTTCCCCTTCTCCCTCATCCCTGACCTCCTTTCCCACGGCATCCTAGCCCATTCCAACACAGACCTCCCCTTTTCTCTTCCTAAGAATGACACCTGCAGGGTCGTTTGCTGCTGTTTTCTGCCTGAGTCAGGAAGCAGATCTTTAACTTTTCTTCCCTGCTTAATAAAGGATCTCTCTGTGAAAACAGGTGTTTAGGTGTGGTTTGTGCCTAATCCGGGGTCTGGGAGGCAGCCCTGCTATGTGGGAGTGCCCTTCAACTACAACCTGCCTTATCCTGCTAGGTCCAATCTGATGATGAATTATGGAGTCTTGTAGACCCAGCTGGTCCTCACATCCATTCATTTACCCAAGGCCTCACAGACCCTCAAGAGCCAAGGCACTCTTAACCGGAGTACTCTCACGCCCCCTGCTGGCTGTACTCTGCCTTTGTAAGTACATCTTAGCAAACGTCCGTTCTGGGCTTCAGTTCCCCTTGCAGGGGACTGGATTCTGAGGTTACCTGGCTTCCCAAGATTGGCTACATGGGTTCCCTGAGATTCCATAGATCCTTCAGTTACCTCCCTCAGGTACAAAAATAAAACAAGGCTAGCCCATGACCTAATGCCAGATTAAGCCTAAGAAGTTGGGGGATTGTGAGTTGAGCCAGCTAGAGTCATGCTCGCTATTCTCAAAGGGAGTTCCAGGACAGTCAGGACGGTTACACAGAGAAACCCTGTCTCGAACAAACAAAAACAAAAAGAAAAAAAAAGGTTGGGAGACACAAACCTCTCCCTTGTCTTAGCTAAGAGGTGTAAATTCTTAGGACAGAGTTGTGAATGGTCCTGGGAAAGTAGGAAGCCAATGTATGTATTTAAGATGCTGGGGTTGGGGTAGAGGAACAGGAAGGGCCAGGAGAGAGCCTTAAGTGTTCAGAACCTGTTTCAGTTCACACAGAGTTAACCCATTCCTGGACCTCAGTGATGATAAGCAGGCCCAGGGAGGGGGAGGGGCAAGAGCAAGCAGTGTTGAGTCTAGACACCCCACCTGACCTGGTTCTATATCCTGTTTGGGTGGGGACCTGGACTTTGTCATCGTTTGAGAAGGAAAGGGGCCTGGCCCTAGCCAGAAGCTTGCCAGGTGTTTTCATCATGACTCAGGGACAGGTGTGGCTCTGGTGCTCAGAGGCACTAACTCAGGTAAGAACACACCCATTTGTTTGCCTCTAGACCCTAGAGGGTCTTAGATTTGGGTCCTAGGATTGACTAAGGTCTCTAGCCCTGAAAACACCTGCTTTAAGTGTCCCATTCCCCATAGCTGTTCCACACCCTACCTGAACCCATGCAGGCAGGCACTAGTCTTTAGAGCAACCATTATGAGTACACAGTGGCTGCTACAGTGGTGACGTACTTAAAGTCACTGGACAAACACTGATCTACATATCTTTAGAAACCTGGCATACCTCCACACCTAGCGCCTAGCCGAGATTAGTTCTCCTGGTGCCTGGTACCATGCAGTCATGACCCCTCTAGCTAAGTTGGGAGAGGTTCTGATTTCTCATCTAGATTCAGACAAAAAGTTCTTGCTCCCAGGGTTTCTCAACCGAAGTGTACTCAGCTGAGGAGGAAGGGTTAAAGATCTCCACTCCAAGGCTAGGGATGTTGCTCAGCAACAGAACACTTGCCCAAGATGTCCAAGGCCCTGAGTTCAGTCTCTAGTATTGGACAAAGAAAGGAAGAAGGAAGGAAAGAAAGAAAGAAAGAAAGAAAGAAAGAAAGAAAGAAAGAAAGAAAGAAAGAAAGAAAGAAAGAAATTTTCACCAGGGCTGGTGCATGCTTTTAATACCAGCATTTGAGAGGTGAAGGCAGGAAAATCTTGAATTCAAGGCCAACCTGAGCTATATATACAATGTGTTCAAGGCCAGCTTTGGCTATAGAGCTAATCCTGTCTCAAAAACCAAAAACAAACAAAAAAAGGCTGAAGATATAACCCATGGTAGAGGCTTAGCATACACGAGGCTCTGGATTTGGTCCTTCAAGTTCTAAAAGAAAAATGAATTCCTCCCCCAACACTACGTGTAAAATCAATTCCTCCAGGGCATTAACGGGAGCTGGAAATCAATCAGTCGAGAGTATCACAGCCACTGCCAGGCCTGGTGGCACAGGCCTATAACCTTAGCTACTCCAGAGGCTGAAGCAGGAGGATTACAAGTTCAAGAATTGATTGGGTTTAGAGAGTGAGTTCAAGGCCAGCCTGGGTAACTTTAGTGAGACTCTGTTTCAAAATTCAAAGTATAAAGAGAGAGGAGGGTGCTGGAGACACAGCTTATGGTAGAGCATTTGACTACCAGGTGTCAGGCCCCAGCTTCAAACCGCAATTCCTAGTATGTCCAAAATGGGTGGTGGTGCTGGTGGGGACAAACAAAAAACTGTCACAGCTGAGCCAAGGGCACTGGGTGGCCAGAGACTCCAAGGGTGTGACTGTGGGCCAGCTGATAGAAGGCCATTCATCCAACACCCCATCCAACCTTTTTTCTTGCCCTAATCTCTCAATAGTCTTTGGTGAGACTATTTGATTGGTTTCAAGGAGTTAGCTTTCGTTTTGTCCTCAAGAAAGCATTTTTGTTTTTACTTTTTACTTTTATTTTTGGCCCTCAAACCCAGGCCTCACATCTCCTAGGCACTCAAGGTAGCATTTTAAAGATATCCTGTTTCCTGTTTGTTTTTTCTGTTCTTGCTCCCTGACATGATGCGCGGCTGTGAGGCCTCCTGCCTGGAGCAGGGCTTGACTACAGTGACGGAAAGGCCAGGGTGGACCAGTTCCAACCAGCCCTTCCTACGCCTTTACTCATTCTCAAGTGCTTATAGCTGCTTGCACAAGACTGGGGTGAGGTTTCCAGGAAGCTTCTAGACGCTGGGCTGAAACTGCCTTTCCACTATGTTCCAGATTTTCCTGTAATGACCCCGTGGAGAACGGGGTTACTAAATCACAGAACACGCAGGCTCCCTAGGAAGCCCCCAGACTCCCAAGGTTCCCTGGAACCTGTTGGGATGGGGTTTTTCTGGCAACCCTGCCTGGCAGAACAACACAGTGCCTTTATAGGGAAGCGAAGCTGTGTTGGTAAGCAGCTGCGGATGTTTGGTTATGAGCATCTGCCGTGTAGTGTTTGCCTTTGTGTATATATCCTTCTCTGTGTCCCAGAGGGTGTGGGGGGTGGGCAGGTTGGAGGAGATGCCTATTATTTGACCTGGAATTTGGAAGTTGTGCTGGCAGAGGCAACTATGATGTAAGCCCCTCCTCACATAGCCAGGGAAAGCACCTTAAAAAAATCAGATGACAGGAAGGTTACAGAGCAAACGAGGCAGAGGCGTGGGCCTCATGCTGGGATGAGCTTCAGTATGGCCTTTATTTGTCTGCTTTCCCCAACTACCTCCAGAACTTAGGGATTGCGAAGAAGAGAATGCTTCATTCTGCCTGCCTTCTCCCACCCAGCCCCTGCCAGTGATAGCAAGGAAATGGCCTGTATTCAGCCCCACAGAGTACTCACAGGTCAAGGGCCTGCTCTTTCTGCTCACCGGATTAGGACAAAGACTGGGTGTCTGGAAGAAGTCGAGGTCTCTCCAGGGGCGAGGAGAAGTTGAATTGTCGCAACAGCTTTCTACACCCTTTTCAATCAGGGCGTCCAGCTGGTAAATGGGGAAGGCACATACCACAGAGTTGGGACCCATACCAGAGCTACCATCTCTGACAGTCACGAAGACCCCAAATAGCACTTCCTGGCCCTCTGAGGCGCTCAGCTCCACGGCGAGTTTGGCATCCACTGGAGCAGAGTGGGCTGCCTGGAGCACTGGGTAGGGTTGTGTGCTCTGTGGGACTCCCCGACGCCGGCGTTTAGGTGCAAAATGACAGTCCAAGACCAGCTCCCGGTAGTCGCCTATCTCCGGCTCCACAGCATTGAGCCGGGCCACACGAGTCTGCAGGGCACTCGGAGGGCTTGTGACACTGGTAGGCTGCACGGTCAGAAAGTAGACGAAGTCTCCCGAGCGGAAGCTGTGCACATATTCAATAGGGTAGGAGGCCAGATACTTGGGCAGCACAGACAGCGAAGGAAAACCTGGTTGGAATCCAGAAGCATCGGCCTTAAGGCGCCGGATGGACACTGAGTGTGGGCTAAAGCTAGCGGCCAACTCTGGGTCTAGTGAAGATGCCACATAGAAGTAGGAGGCATGGCCCTGCTCCACCACAGTCACCCGAGTGCCCAGGGGGCTAGCCACACAGTCCGGGCAGGCCTTCGGATGGTTAGTGTTTGCTGAGAAGAGGCAGGCTGGTGCTGCTAAGTGCAGGCCTTTCTCCCGAGGCTCCAGCTCATACAGGAAGCAGCGGCCCTGCAGGGTTGAGCCACAGCTGACCAGGGCCGGCAAACCGGGCTCGATCACCAGCACTAGTGTGTCTGTGTCGTTTGGTGGTCCATGAGGGCCTGGACCACAGCTCGCACAAGTCTGGCAGCCGGGATCCCCGACAGGGCCCGTGGTCAGGTGCTCTCTATCCTGCAGATCAGGCCCAAGCACGTGCAGGCGATTGCGTGTAGCCACAAACACCACACTCCCATCTTCGCTGTCCTCGTAGGTTGCCATGGCCTGTACCTGGCCACCCGCGGAGAAGCTGGGGACCACATACTTTACATTAAAGTCTCGGGAGGCTGAGAAGGGTATTCGTGGGCACTGCCAGTCCAGGTTGGTGGACGCCGGCGGCCACAAAAGAAGCATTAGCAGTAGAAAGGACTGTAGCAGCAGCAGAAGCAGCCCCATTGAGACTGAGCTGGAACCCCTCGGGAATCTCAGAACGTCCAGGACTTGACCCACCAGACTCAGGTCGGAGCTGAGACCAGCATTAAGTAGCAGTACTGAAAGCTCCTGGGCAGCTGACCCCGACTCTGGTTCTTGGCAAATCCAACCTTTCCCCCCTGCCCTGTGGTCTGAGCACCTGGCTGTGGACCCACGGGCAGGGCAATGGTGCGACCACCTCACTTGCGGCTCCAGCTGCTTCTTCTAGCTGCCGCTGCCGCCACAGCTACTTGGATCAAAGTCGAAAGGCTCCGGCCGGTGGGTGCGGCCGGGCTGGGGCGGGGCTACGGGCGGAGCCCTGTTGAAGGCACTGCTCTCTTTCCAGCCCTGTCTGACTCTTTCCAACCCTGAGAAGGGAAGGCTGTCTCCTGTATCCGCTCTTAGATGTGTATTTTTCAGTGGCCTGCGGGTGGGTGTGAGTGGAGTGGCCTGGGAAGGAGTATTCCTGAACCATCCGATTCCCCCACAACCCACCTGGTTGAGGGCAATGGTTGAGAATGGTTCAGGGCAATATGGTTCTTCTCTCCCCATGGCCCTCACTCACAGGAACACTCTCAGACACCAGTTTTCACTATGTGGGGAACGGAGGACAGAGTGATGTATGGGGCTCCAGAATGGAACACTATAGGACACACTTTCTGTGGGTGGGTACCATAATCCTAAGTGCCTGTTTTGAGCAGTGTCAGAGGAAGGTATGTTGTGCCCTGTCCTGTCTGCCCAGAGCCATAAGGGTTAATGGAATCTGCCCCACCCCCAGCTGGATAGTAGCCAGAGGTAACCTATGTGAAGATCTAGCCCTCTAGTCTGGTCCTGTCACTGTGGTCTCAGTGTGTGGAAATCTAGGTCAGGAGGGAAGGGGTAAATGACTCTCCCCCAGTGCCCCGATGTGGGAGAAGTATGGTCTCTGACTTCTGGGGCACCTCTGGTCTGCTCTGAGCCTTGTTTTGTGAACTCAGTCTCTGAAACAAGAATGTAGCTCTGGTTGGTTGGTACTCAGAGTCCTGAATGGGTGAGTGGACCCCACTCTGTTTCTCCATCTCCCTCGCCTGGACCTCAAAAGCTGTCCCTTGGCAAGCGGTCTTTCTCAATATCTGGGGGTGATGGGGCCGGGAGGGGCATTCTTTGCCTGACAGCTTCCTTAGCTCGGCGAGCCTGGGCTCCTGAGGGCTCTTCACAGGGTGGCAGAGGCTAAGGGGGTTGGGGGAAAGGGCTGAACAGGATCCAGTCGGGCCTGGGCTCCTTACTCCTCCCCTCCTCGTCCAAACCCTCCTGCCTGCATCCCCTTTCTAACCTGACCTTTGTGACTGCTTCCTTTCCCCTCCATCCTTTCATAGTTGGAATGCTGTTACCCTAGAATGCCTTTCTAAAAACTTTTAAAACCACTATTTAAAATCACCAAAAAATATGGACTGTTTCGCAGATGTGCGTGTCCTCCTTGCGCGGGAGCCGTGCTAATCTTCACGGTATTGTTAGGAGGCCTCTCATACCCAGCCTGTATCAGATGCATATCATGGGTCACCAAGAGCCTGGGCTGTACACACCCCAACACAGTCAGCTCATTCTCTTCCTCCATTCCTAGGGTAGGACGTCCCCTCCTTCCAGGATGAAGTTCTTGAGCATCTGGTAACTGACAGGAAATGGCATATGGAGCAGCCACACCAAGTGCATAGAGAATACTATGCCCAAGGCAGTATGAAAGGTGCTCCTTTTCCTAAGTGGAGCTGGCCCAGAAATGAATAAATAGACAACACAAACCATGGCACCCTTCCAGTGTTCCACAGTCAACATGTCTAAAGATAGTCATGCAGAGAAAAACTGAAATACTTTCTATACAACACCCAGACAGGGGCTCTTGTGAATGTGGTCCTGCCTCCAGAGATTGTGAGACATTTCTGGGTACTGGGGTGGGGGTGGGGATGGGGGGGGGAAGACTTCACAAGCTTGTTCAGATGGCCTGACCCAACTCATTTGGAGGTGGGAACAGCCATTAATTGGTTCTCTGCTGCCACCATGTGGCCATGATGGTGACTGCCCCTCCACACACAATGCACCCCTTGGGGGTAATTTGTTTCTCAACAGTTGGGTCCACAGGAGAACCCCTTTGTTACTTTTCATCTGTGGGTTCTGCAGGAACTTCAGGCTAGGTATGGGGCCCTGCAGTGTTAAGTATAAGCACTCCTAAGGTAACTCACTGGGCCTATTGTGTGGCCTATTGCTGGCTTAGGACTTATTTAACTACTCTGAGATTTTACCTCAAAGGAATGCCAGCCACTTTGCCCTCCATGGGCTCAGGCTTTTCTGAACACTGCTTCTTCTCAACCCAGAAATCACCTTACTAAAATCAGAGCCTTCTTTCTAACGACAGTAACCACATCAGACTGCAGTTTTAAGCGCCTCGCCCCGCTGTATTTTATCCAGAGGTTGAAAACCCCTGGACTTTGGATTCTGCCAGTTTCACAGCAGAGCAGTTCTACCAGGTTCTTCTCTTTGCAGATGTTGGTGTCTCTATTAGGAACACCTCCTTTATTTGCCTGTCATCTAATTCGTGACCTCCAAGTAGGTAAACCCCACACTCCTAGGTGCCTACTGTCCTAGGTACCAATGCTTATCTGTGACCAGCCTTTCCTATCCCTGAGCAGAACTGATGCTGAACTAGAGAGAGGCTGGATATCTACAGGTGCTAGAGCAGCTACCAGAAGCACTTAGGGGCTAACTGCTGACCAGAACAACCAGGGATGTCTGGCTTCGAATCACCCTGGTTCCAAAGGGTTGATCTGATGCCCTGGTCAGGAGCAAGTTGAAAAAAAGCACAAAATAGGAAAGAAAGAGACCAAAGGCATATGTGCAGGGTACACACCAAGGGCATATGTGCAGGGTACACACCAAGCCTGCTTCTGAGGGTAGCCTTGACTGTCCTGGAACTCACACTGTAGACCAAGCTGTCTTCAAACTCAGAGATCCGCCTACCTCTGCCTCCTGAGTACTGGGAATAAAGGTGTGTGCCGTCACACCCAGCCCTGCCACTGGTTCTTTTACCCATCCAGTACAGGAAGGTGGCCTGTTGCTGTGTTAATTCAAACACGATCCGGGTTGAAACCAGTAACTAAGATTATGCTTCCAATTAAGTACAACTGTCATGGTGCATCCTTAACATGGCCCATGCTAATTCATACATGTTCTCTGGTGTGGTTTTAGTGGCAAAAATAATTGTGGTCCTACTTACAGAGACTTCATGAAGGGGGGTCTGACAGCCTGAAGACAACATTATCAGGCAATTCTCTCTTTAGTTAGGCCTTTTGCTTCTCTAATGAGATGGTTAAGCTGCAGCAGGACCAGGAGACTGCCCATCCCCCCCCCCCCCATGAGCAAGTTGGAGGCCTTCTGCACTGTGCCCTGGGTTGCCCCAGGGTCTTACGGCAGAGGGAATGGAACTTTACTGCTGAGCCTCCTGAGCGTCCATAGTATTTCATGTAGGACAGGCTGAGGAAGAGGGTGACTAAAGACAGCCCAGCATATCAAGTGACCTTATGGCAGATTTACTTCCAAAGGCCCTAGAGGTCAAGTGGGCATCCTTTGGCTCATTCTTGGGGGGCTGTTATGATGAACTGGCTGGCTGAGATACAGGAACTAAGACAGACATCCCTTTATGGGAAGATATAAGCATTATCCCCAGAGGCCTGTGGCTATAGGAGATTGGACTCTGAATCTGATTATGCTCAACACTGGGTTGCCTTGGCAAGGGCTCCTACCCAAAAGTTGGCCCAGGTAATCTGCACTTGTCTTACTCAGCTCAGCCTGTGCTTAACTACAGCAGCCCATTAACCAGAGTGCTGGTGACTGAACTATCCTTTGAAGCATGCTTCTGGGGGCCCCACCAAGGACAGGCTGGCACTAGAGAAGACTGAGTATGGGTAAAGATGGGGGGCAGACAAGGGAAAAAACAGTAAGGTGCTTGTGAACCCTTTACATATGGCAGGATTTCATGGAACCAAAACAGCCCCAGACTGGAATCTGACTCCACGTGTGAGTAGCCTGATGCTGGCAAAGGGTGGGAGGAGAGGAGATTAAATGAACATGTGCCCCCATATATAAGGAATGTGTTGAGCCAGGAAGGAGGATTCTGTGTCTACATGTGAGACTGGATGGGTAAAAGAACCAGTGGCAGGGCTGGGTGTGACGGCACACACCTTTATTCCCAGTACTCAGGAGGCAGAGGTAGGCGGATCTCTGAGTTTGAAGACAGCTTGGTCTACAGAGTGAGTTCCAGGACAGTCAAGGCTACATAGAGAGAGCCTACCTCAAAAATCAACCAAACAGCCAGGCGGTGGTGGCACACGCCTTTAATCCCAGCACTCGGGAGGCAGAGGCAGGTGGATCTTTGTGAGTTTGAGGCTAGCCTGGTTTACGGAGTGAGATCCAGGAAAGGCGCAAAGCTACACAGAGAAACCCTGTCTCGGAAACAAACAAACAAACAAAAAACAACCAAACAAAAGAGCCAATGACAAAACACAAGTGTCTTTCCCAAAGCACTTTAATGCACGCACCAACCCACAGTCCCTGCCTGCTGGCTGGGCAGGAGAAGCCAGCCTCACCTGGAGGCTCCCATGGCTTCCCACGCCCAGTGTGCCTTCCCACGTCCATCAGTAGGTGAGGGGTGTGAGGATGAAGAGCCGGTCCTCCTCTTTACGGATCCAGCGCATCAGCTTATGGATGGCACTGACAGCTGATGCCTTGGTTCCCAGTGGGCTGTAGCACATGTAGAGCTCAAAGGCACCTGTCACCTGGAGGAGGGGGCAAAGGGTCATCACCTAGAATAGGCATGCCTCTTGTGGCATCTACCCAGTATTCGTATGAGGACAAGTTCATCTAGGGCCACCTTACCCAGGCTAGGAGGTTCTCATTGGGGCCTGTATAGTAGATGGTCTTGAGTGGGCGAGAGGCGTTGTGAGCACGGCTGTGCAGGTACTGGTAGAGGCCCAGCAGCCGCTCCTGCTCCTCTTCACTGGTGTACGGGGCCTCAATCTCAGGACTGCAGATGGAGAAGTGGGTTCACAAAGGAATGCCTTTCACTGTCTTCTCAGGAGAACTAGAAATACCTATTTCTGGACAGGAAGCTTTTACTGCCTGTTCTCTCCAGGTGCTTCCCTATGACTACAGAAGACCCAGGACAGACTGGACCCTGCCCCCCTGCCAGGGTCATAGTGATCCTTTGGTGACCCTTCCTTAGAGAGGTTATTTCTGAGTTTAGGTATCTAACGGAGTAGCAGGTCAAGAGTAGAGGAAAGCAAGCTGGGAAACCTTCTGAGCCAAAAGTGGGGGTAGGGAGAGGACATATCTGTCCAGCTCCTTTAGTGGAGGAATGGGTGGGGGAAGACTCTGCATCCTGGTCTGCACCAAAATGACCCCAAAGGCAGAGCTGCTCCAGGACAAAGGACCTGGGAAACCTCTGTTCCAGCTTCTTTCCCAAGTTGTTCCAGGTCTTACGTGTGTTGAAGTAGAGAGGTGTATGCCCACCGAGTGCTGCCAGAGGAAAACAGCCCCAGCATACCGGTACATTCTCAAAGGAGTGCTCAGTTCCAGGGCTGCATCTTAGGTCTCAGGACCAACCAGCCTCCCCCCATTTCTGCATCCTTGTCTCCCTGAAGCAGTGCCTCCGCTCACCTGGTGAAGAGTCCCGAGCTCTTGGACTTATAAAGGAAGTGGCGAAGGTCGGGGATGCCCACTTGGGCAACGCTGTAGTAGGGTGTGCGCAGCGCCTCCCGCAGGGCCAAGTGGGCTCCCCGCTTTCGAAGGCGTTCCTGGAAGCGGCGGCGGCAGTCCGACACTGCGAAGAAGTCCTCACGGTCGGTAGACACCAGCAGCAGGCAGAGGTCGGTGTCAGGTTCTAGATAAGAGATGTGCGCGTGGAAGAAGCCGGCTGCATTGAACTTTGGCAGGCACACGGGGGTCCACGCCTCGCCCTCACGGAAGGATGAGGAGGAACTAATGAGGTTGAAAAGCAGGTGCAGGTCGATGGGATGCAGGAATTGGTCCTTGCGGCGTACCAGCGCCACCAGCTGGTTGCGGGCCAGCAGAATGGAAAAGACCAGGCTGCGAGCACGTGCCTGCTGCAGGCTGGCACTCACCGTGTCCCGCACTGCCGCTGCCAAGGGCAAGCACCGCGCTGCGCCCATCAGGAAACTGGGGTCTCGAGCCATTAGCTGCAGCAGGTTATCGGTGATCCGCTCCGAGCCTGAGAGCAGGCGCCGCAGGTCGTAGTTCTGCTTCTGCTGGAAGATGTGGCTTAACTGCGCGCCAGTGAGGAGGCTCAGGATCTGGTAGTAGATGTACAGTAGCTCCTGGGCCAGCTCCTGGGCCGACTGCCGCGTGCGGGCCACCGCCACCAGCACCAGAGGGCTCCGGCGCACGAATACTACCTTGTAGCCATCTAAGGGTGTGGGCAGGGGGTCAGCTTCAGCCCTCCTCCCAGAAGCCCTCCCGGATAGGCTTTCCCAGTGGGCTTCACTTTCCAGGGTTTCCTTGCTGGGAGCTCTGAATTCAGTAGGGGCTTATTGGTTGTGGGCAGCCAATCACCTCCCTTCCCTGCCACCTGTTTCACAAACTGACTCTCTTGGACTCACAAGAAGCTCCTCAGGAAAACACATTCTTAGTTTGCTTTTTGAGACAGCGTCTCAAGTAGCAAAAGCTGATCCTCCTGCCTCCACCTCCCAAGTGCTGGAATTTACAGGCTGCATATACATCACCAGGCCCAGCTCAGGAAAACACATTTTATGCTAAATGCTAACTTAATTGGCAAGGGATCTGGGCTATGGATCTGGGGTTGATTGGGTTTTTTTAAATTTTTTAATTTATTCATATTTTTTGTCACTGCCTCAGGGGGGCTTTCATCCTTTCTGATGGCAAACTCTTGGTAGAACTGCCTTTAGCTCTCAACACAGCCGCACTGCCTCAGGAGGCTGATATTGTTATCCTACGTTCAGTAAGAGCATGAGGCTCAGAGAGATGGAAGGACTTTACTCTCAGGCACAACCCAGCTTTCCAGGTGTGAGTGTGTGTGTGTGTGAGTGTGTGTGTGTGTGTGTGTGTGTGTGTGTGTGTGTGTGTGTCCAAATCCGGGTATGAATAGACCCTGCCATTGGAGCCTTCCCCACAACCCTCTTCAGGTGGCTCACCTGCATGGATGGAGCGGATGGCATTCTTGTCTGCCTCCAAGAAGGATACCAGGGCAACCATGACACCCATAGTGCTGGAAAGTGCTTCCTCAGACCCATAGCGAGAATACACAGGCTTCCCTGCCTCACTCAGTACAAACACATGCTTCTGGTGGAGGCGCCATGCCTCCGTAGCGTCCTCCTCCTCCCCATCAGTTGAGCCTTCCTGAGAAGGCTCTGTGGCTGGTCGTCCAGCTGCCCCCTGGGGCTCCAGCCAGTCTTCAGAGCTTCCTGGCAGCATTTCCTCCTGCAGGTCACGGGCCACACCTGTCAGCTGGGTGCTTAGCTCGCTGAAGTCCTGGCTGATCTGGCGCATGTCTGTAGGTAGTGGGGGGGGACTTCCAGCATACTCTTTGGGGCTGTCCCCAGAAGCTTCCCTGTCTTCTGACTCTGTCAGGTCTTCGTAGGAACGTGCATGAACAAACATGGCACCCTCCTGCCCCGCACCTGCAGACCAAAAGCACTGGTGCTTAGAGACACTCACCACTCACCAAGGAGATGCCAAGAGGGTCACTGCCTGTCTTGATGGGGCCAAGCTACTGTCCTCTCTACCACCGTCTACTATGGATCATGCTCAACTACAACCTAAAAGTCCTTGGTCCCAAGGCAGCAATGGAAACTGGTATCTGCCCACCCCTCACTAACACTGAACAGCTCACCCCCTTGCCCACTCCAAACACACTGGCCTTTATCCATCTGCGCTTCAGATCCCCCCCAACACACACACACACACACACACACACACACACACACACACACACACACACACTTACCCAGGAGTCTGCATCTGCTGTGTACCTGGAAGGCATCCCCATCTCCCCATGTGGATAAGTACTTGTCACACTTCCACTCTGAGGTAAGAGGTATTTATTTACACATCTGACCTCCAACCCCAGACACGATCATTTTCTCTCTTTAATTTCCATTGGAACACTAACCAGTTATTGGTCACTACAATGTTATCCCTCAAGAGTACAAATTTAGTTATTTACCCTCTCCATCCATGAGGGAGAGCTACCACAGCCCCTGACTACCAGCCTGTGGCTTCTCCAGGACAGGGGCCACATCGGGCTTCTCTTACATATTTTTGGGGTGCTGGGATCTAAGGACTGAGGCAAGTACTGGACTAATGAGCTAAATCCCAACTCCTACTTTGTTTTCTTCTTTTGGAGATATGGTCTTCCTACATAGCCCTGGCTAGCCTCATATTCATTATGTAGCTCCAGGCTGACCAAGATCTCACACCAATCCTGCCTCAACCCACAGGTGCTGGGATTACAGGTGTACACCACCATATCGGGCTCTTCTTTTCCTTTTGAAACACAGTTAGAATTTTTATTAAAAGATATTTTAGGTGGGCAGCGGTGGCACACGCCTTTAATCCCAGCACTCGGGAGGCAGAGCCAGGCAGATCTCTGTGAGTTCGAGGCCAGCCTGGTCTACAGAGTGAGATCCGCCGGGCGGTGGTGGCGCACGCCTTTAATCCCAGCACTCGGGAGGCAGAGCCAGGCGGATCTCTGTGAGTTCGAGGCCAGCCTGGACTACCAAGTGAATTCCAGGAAAGGCGCAAAGCTACACAGAGAAACCCTGTCTCGAAAAATCAAAAAAAAAAAAAAAAAAACAGAGTGAGATCCAGGACAGGCACCAAAACTACACAGAGAAACCTTGTCTCAAAAAACCAAAAAAAAAGATATTTTAGTCTGGCAGTAGTGAATATTCCTTTAATCCCAGCACTCAGGCAGAGGCAGGTGGATCTCTGAGTTTGAGGCCAGCCTGGTCTACAAAGCAAGCTCCAGGACAGCTAGGGCTGTTACACAGAGAAACCCTATCTCAAAAAAAAAAAAAAAAAAAGGTATTTTAAAAATACTGACTTTCAAGTAAGAGCGTTAGGAGAAGAAAGGAATCATTTTATATCTTTCCTTATTATTTTTATAAGAGACAGGTCCTCACAGTTGTCTAGACTGGTACAATATGAAATGGCAAGAAAGGTAAGATGTAAACTGAGCCCTGCTCTCTGCAGTATCCCCAACATGTGACAAACACCTATTGAATGAGCAAATGTACACGTGAGTAAGGAGGAAAGAGTGGTCATGACCCCTACCCCCCTGGAGGCTTGCTTGTTCCACTAGTCTCTGGTTGGGGAACTGCATGCTCTACCCATACCTGGCTCTGTTCCCTGGGTCAGTCCTGGCGTGGGGCTCTCAGCTCTCTCTACACTTTGGCCATCGGAAGGAGCCAATATGCCATCAGGGCATTCGCTGCTTCTCTTCCTCTGCATGTCAGCAGCCATCTTTTGGGCTGTCCTATGAGGTAAAGAAAAAAAAAAAACAAACACCGTGGAAGCCAAAGGAGTAAGGTGCTGGTAGACACCAGCGTATCTAATAGTACTTAAGTTTTTTTTTTTTTTTTGTTTTGTTTTTCGAGACAGGGTTTCTCTGTGTAGCTTTGGAGCCTTTCCTGGAACTCACTTGGTAGCCCAGGCTGGCCTCGAACTCACAGAGATCCACCTGGCTCTGCCTCCCGAGTGCTGGGATTAAAGGCGTGCGCCACCACCGCCCGGCTAGTACTTAAGTTTCTTACCAGGACCCCACTAAGTCAAATCCCTGGGAAATGACTTCTGGGTATTCTCTCATAAAAATATTAAGTTTTAGTCGGGCAGTAGTGGCACACCTTTAATTCCAGCACTTGGGAGGCAGAGGCAGGCGGATTTCAGTGAGTTCAAGGCCAGCCTGGTCTACAAAGTGAGTTCCAAGACAGCCAGGACTGTCTCGAAAAACCAAACCAAAACAAAACAAAGTTTTAAGTTTTTTTATTCTGGATGTGGTGGTTGGTACCTCTAATCCCAGGACTCAGGAGACAGTCAGGAGAATTGCCCAGAGTTTCAGGCTGGCTGTAGCTGCATAGTAAAACCTTGTTTTAAAAACTAAAACCTGGGTTGGAGATTTAGCTCAGTGGTAGAGCGCTTGCCTAGCAAGCACAAGGCCCTGGGTTCCATCCTCAGCTCAAAAAAAAAAAAAACCAAAAAAACTAAAACCTGCCGGGCAGTGGTGGCGCATGCCTTTAATCCCAGTATTCGGGAGGCAGAGGCAGGAGGATTTCTGTGAGTTCGAGGCTAGCCTGGTCTACAAAGTGAATTCCAGGACAGGCTCCAAAGCTACACAGAGGGACCCTGTCTTGAAAAAACAAAACAAAACAAACAAACAAAAACTAAAACCTGTCTCTCTCCATCTCCCTTCCCTGGAAATTCAACCCAGGTCCTTGTACATAGCAGGTAGACACTTTACCACTGAGCTATACCCAGGCATCATGCTCCTTCCCTGATTATAAAAAGACACATTCATCGCAGAAAACATGGAAACACAGAAAGTGTAAAGAAATGTCATTCATTCTCTCTACAATTCAATCTTCCTCGCTACATTGACAGTGTTAGCTGCTGTTATTAGTTGGTTTAAAAACATGCTTTTTAATTTTTCAGGTTTTTTGTTTTGTTTTGTTTTTAGTTTGCTTGCTTGTTTTCAAGACAGAGTCTCTGTGCAACCTTGGCTGTCCTGGATCTCACTCTGTAGACCAGGCTAGCCTCAAACTTACAGAGATCCACCTGCCTCTGCCTCCCCAGTGCTGGAATTAAAGGCGTGCACCACCACACCAGCTTAAAAACATGCATTTTAATTTACATTTAAAATTATTTATTTAGAGGCAGGTGTGATAATGCACATCTTTAATCTCAACAGTCGGGAGGCAGAGGTAAGTGGATCTCTGTGAGTTGGAGGCCAGCCTGGTCTACAGAGCAAGTTCCAGGATAGCCAAGGCTGCACAGAGAAACCCACAGGAAAACAAAAAACAAACAAACAAATTTATTTAGAGGCTAGAGAGATGGCTCAGCAGTTAAGAGCACATGTTTTTGCAGAAGACCTGGGTTTCATTCCCAGCACCCACATGGTGGCTCACAGCTGCCTGCAACTCTAGTTCCATTCAGGCACCAGGTACATATGTGGTGCCCACACATAAATGCAGGGGCAAAACACTCTCACACATAAAATAAAATAATACATCTTTAAAACAATTAAAAATAATAAAATAAACTATTTATTTATTGTGTGTGTGTGTGTGTGTGTGTGTGTGTGTGTGTGTGTGTGTGTGTGTGCACATGTATGGAGGTCAAAGGACAACTTTTCAGGAGTCAGTTCTCTCCGACCACTTTGTTTGAGGCAGGGTCTCTCTTGTTTCTATCACTGTGCAGTGCACTCAGGCTAGCTGCCCGTCTCCTATCTCACCATAGATGTACTGACATTACAGATATGCACCATTGTCCCAGGTTTGCACACGTGGGTTCCCAGAGTCAAACTCAAGTTTGGCAGCAAGATCCTTTACCCACTGGATCATCTCACCAGCCCCTACATACATTTTAAGAAGACAATGTATAATTTTTATATGTCAAATACAAATAAATACACAAAGGAAGAGGACCAGAAGGAAGTCACACTGTCAGGGTAGTCAGTATTTGTACAACAGCAGTTCCAGTACTTTAGAGGTTGAGGCAGAAGGATTGTTCAAAGTTTTGGGCCAGCTTGGGTTACACAGTGACTACAAGGCCAGCCTGAAATCCATAGTGAAACCCTGTCTCACAATAGTTCAAGTACAGGTTAGCATGCTACAAAGTTGACGTGGGTTAAGTTACATAATTCCGAGCAGGTTAGTCAACAGGAGCTAAGACCTGAAGCTGAGGGTTTGGAGAACTTGATGTAGGAATTGAAACACTTCTGTGACGCCCCTTTCACTCCACATTCTACCGTGAATTTCCCCATTCAAAACTGAATTTACCATGGATGGGCACGGTAGTGCACACCTTTGATCCTAGCACCAGGAAAGCAAAGGTAGGTAGATTTGTGTGAGTTTGAGGCCAGCCTGATCTACAGAAACAAGTTTCAGGCCAGCCAGAGTTACAAAAAGAAACACTGTCTTAAAAATAAAAATAATGTGGTACTGCACACCTTTATCCCAGCATTAGGGAGGCAGAGGCAGGGGGATCTCTGTGGCCAGCCTGGTCTATAACATAGTGAGTTATGGGATTTCCAGAGGTACATAAAGAGACCCTGTCTGAAAAAAAAATTTAAATTGACCAACAGTTTTTTTTTTTTTTTTTTTTTTTTTTTTTTTTTTTTTAAGGCAGAGTTTCACTGTGTAGCCCTGGTTGGCCTCAGACTCACAGATATCCACCTGCCTCTGTCTAGTATGTACCTTTCTGAGCACACAAAATCAACCATGGGTCTGGAAGCAAGTCTTCTTTTTCTTAAATATTGATTGTTTTCCTTTTTTAAAAGATTTAAGGGCCAGGTGGGTGGTGGCGCACGTCTTTAATCCCAGCACTCGGGAGGCAAAGCCAGGTGGATCTCTGTGAGTTCAAGGCCAGCCTGGTCTACAGAACGAGATCCAGGACAGGCACCAAAACTATAGAGAAACACTGTCTCAAAAAACAAACAAAAAAACCCAAACAAACAAACAAACAAAAAAGATTTAATTCTTTGTGTGTGTGTGTGTGCGTGTGTGTGTGTGTGTGTGTGTGTGTGTGTGTGTGTGTGTGTGTGTGTGTATACATGTCCTCTCCCCTTCCCTCCCTCCCTCCCTCCTTCTGTGTATGTGACAGAGTTGTGTGAGAGTTGTGTGTATAGCTATATGCACTTGGGTGCTAGTGTGTGAGAGAGAAGAGAACATCGGGTGTTTCACATTTTCTCAGCTAAAATGGACATGGGTGGTCGCACGCCTTTAATCCCAGCACCCAGGAGACAGAAGTCAAGTGGATTTCTGAGTTCCAGGCCAGTCTGGTCTACAAAGTGAGTTCCAGGACAGCCAGGGCTGTTACACAGAGAAACCTTGTCTCGAAAGACTAAAACAAACATTTTCTCAGCAGTCTGGAAGCCAGGAAGTTTAAGCAATCCTCCTCTCTGTCCCTCTTGCCGTTGGGGTTGCAAGGTATTTGTGAGGCTTGTTATGTGTATGCTGGATCCCCACTCCAGTTCTCATGGGTTTGAGAAAACACCCTAACCATTGAGCAATCTCTCCAGCCCGTCTGGAAAGAATTCTGAGTCGCTTCCTTCCGAGCGGGGTCCATTCTGCTAGTATCAGAGCACTGCCTTCCACATGCGGTGGCATGCGAAAACACAGCTGGAAGATTATGTATAAGCTCTTAAACACTTCAGAGTCAAAGCTGCCTAGAATTAGTGTCACAGCTAAGGGGGCTGGGAAATGTGGAGAGTCCACAGACAACTGCTGAGCAGTAAGGTTTCTGCCACAGCAGCCACATTTCTCCTGTTCTCTCTGGAATCTGTTACATCCAGACATCATTGTTCCAATGACTCCCAGGATCAACTCACTTCACCCCTGAACAGTCACAGAAACAAACTCCTGATACATTCTCAGTCTCTCTCCCCCTCCTCCTCTTCCATAGTCTCTCCTCCCAAGTCCTGGCATTACCTGTCTGCACAGCCGATCTTGGCTTGCTTTCTCTCTCCTAGAGCACTTACCACCCTTGGCTTCTGTACACCATTCTCTTTTCTTGCCCCCCTGACTGTTTAGTTGGAACCTCCAGCTCACTCCCGCTTGATCTGGAAAGCCCCATTCCCCTCTCTCTCCAAACCACGCTCTCTCAGAGAATCTCCAACAAAGAAAAGGCACCAAAAAGCCCACTTCCACATTCTTGGGGGCTACAGCAGTTCCTCCCCTGAAGTTGCCAGCTGCCCAAGTCCCCGCCTAAATCGGTCAGCTTTTGACCATACTTGGGCACAACACCAGCTTGTGGTGGACACGTCAGCACCCTTTGCCTCCACCCTATAACCTCCTGCTTTAGTTCAGGTGTGTGATTTCTCCACCTCAATCTCTGAGACTGAAGAACTCACCCGGGAGTCACTTTGCTCAAATAGACCTGATCTTTTACTTTTTCAATTTGGCTTGATCTGGCTTACTGTGTCAGTGGAGAAACCTACTACGTGGGACAGAAAACCTATTACTGACCTCATGGACTACCCATCTGAGTCCTTTTTACAGTTTTTTTTAATGGAGGGGCCCTTGCTTCTCTTCTGTCTTCACTCAATGCCTTTGTGATCTATACATACCTTTATACATTAATGGACCCAACTTTTATTTCTAGCCCCAATCTTTCTTTTATTTTCAGGCATACACACATAATTGTTTGTTATCTTAAGGTTATACATCCCAACCAAGATCCCAGTCTATCCTCTCTTTAACAGATGTTCCTTGCTAGGTACGGTGGCACACACCCAAAATCCTAGCACTTGAGACTTGGAGGCCAGAGGCTCTGGAGTTCAAGGCCATTCTAAGCTACAAAGCAAGCAAATTCAAGTCCAGTCTTGCCTAAGTGAGACCTTGTCTCAAAAAACAAACAAACTAAGGGGGAGGGTAGTTAGAGAGATGGTTCAGCAGTTAAAAATATTTACTGCTCTTCTAGAAGACCCAAGTTTGGTTCCCAGCTCCATGTTAGGCCTACAACTGCCTATAACTCCCACTCCAGGAAACAGATGTCCTCTCCTGGCCTTCACGGGGCATGCACACAAGTGACATACATTTATACAGACATACATGAATAAAATAATAATAATAATAATAATAAATCTTAAAAAAAAAATCAAACCAAAAGGGACATCAGGGATGGCTCAGTCTATGAAGTGTTTGCCTTGCAAACAAGAAGACATGAATTCCATCCCCAGAACCAACGTGAAGATGCTGGGTTTGGTGCCACTTGTAATCCCAGTGCTGTGGAGGCAGAGACGAGAGGATGCCCGGGGCTTGCTGGCATAGTGACTTTGATGTCAGCTTGGTCTACATGAGGTCCTGTCTTTTAACACAAAACTGAGCATTGCGGCTCAGGCCTGTAATCCCAGAACTTGGTGGGCTAATGCAGGAAAGCTGCTGAACGACTGAGGTTAGTCTGGGCTACAGAGTGAGACCTTATCAAAAAAAACTTTTTTTTAAATAAATAAAAAAGAGTGAGACCTTATCTCAAAGACAAACAAACAAGCAAACAGCAGGGGACGGAGGCTGCTGCTTAGTCCCATCTTTTAGCTCTGTATAAACAGGACACAGTGACACACACTTGCAATCCCAGCACTTGAGAGGTAGAGGCAGCAGCTTGGGATACATGAAAAACTATCTTAAGCTACAGAGTCTCAATAAAACCAAAATTAGGGCTTAGGGATATAACTTAGTTGATAGAATGCTTGCCTATAATGCATAAAGTTCTGGGTTCGAGCCCTGTACTATATAAAACCATGTATGGAACTGGGGAAAGAGCTCAGTTTTTTTTTTTTTTTTTTTTTTGCTGCTTTTGCTGCAGCTCATTTCACAGGACCCATGTTGGGTGGCTCACAACAATCTGTAACTCCAGCTCCTAAGGGACCCAGTTCCCTCTTTTGGCCTCCTCAGGCACCCATACACACACATACATATACACTCATATACACAAATAAAAGCCAAATCCTTAAATAAACATGTGCAGTGACATACCTGTAATCTCCACTCTTGGGAAGTGGAGGTGAGAGGGTGATCACAAGTTCAATGTCCTCAACTATATAATGAGTTTGAAGCCAACCTGGGGTATATGAGACTGTCTCAAAAACACAGTAAACAGGGGCTAGAGACGGCCCAGCAGTTTAGATCAGAGCACATACTTCTCTTAGAGTATCCTTGGGCTTGATTCCCAGCACCCCAGTTAGGCAATTCACAACTGTCTGTAACTCCAGCTCCAGTGGATCCAATGCCCTCTTCTGGCCTCTTCAGGTACTGTACTCACATACACAACTCCCTCTCCACATAAACATATAATTAAAATAAATAAAATTAAAATCTTAAAAATGTGTAAATAATAGTGGGAGGGACACAATAAGACAATAAGTGGTACCTTTCACAGAATAACTTATCAATGTTAAGTAGTAAATGCCTATATCCAATTGTTGACCATTTCTTTTGTTTGTTTGTTTTTGTTTTCCTGAAACAGGGTTTCTCTGTGTAGCCCTGGCTGTCCTCCAACTCACTTTGTAGACCAGGCTGGCCTTGAACACAGAGATCTACCTGCCTCTGCCTGGGCTCTGGGAATAAAGTGTGCGTCACCGCACTGAGCTCAATAGCTGACCATTTCTTATCAATTCCATGATTATCTGAGTGGTTCAAGCCACCGTTATCTCTCTAGCAAATTATTGCCACAACCTCCTACCCAGGCCTAGTGTGTCCCACTGCTGTCTTTGTATTCGAGGTGAGCCTCTTGAAACACAGGTCAGGTCAGGTCATTCCTCTGCTCACAGTTCTGTAATATTTCCACCTCACTTAGCAAGAAAATCAACTTCCTCCTGATGGCACACAAGGCCCTTCCTCCTTTATTTCTCCAAGCTTCTTTTCTACCCTTTCTTCCCACCTCATTTCTACATCAGCTCAGCTTATCCTGAACACCTCTTTGCTTAACCTTTGCCCCTTACTCTTCCCTCACCCAACTTCATTTATAGCCCTTGCTAGGCTAGTACATGACTCATTCCTTCACTTCAGGTTGTTGCTGGAGTACCTTATCAGAGAGGCCTACCCTGCAACACACTGCTCACCCTGATTTTTTCTAGATTGAAGGTCACCCTTCACATGGCCTGCGACATATGAGACACATGCAGGAGGAATTAAACCAGCATTTGGAAGAGAAAGAAAATGAAAGGTCTGTGAACAACACCCAGTTCAAGTGTACCTGGGATCAGGCAAGAAAACCCTTGTCTGTAGAAACAGCTTGTCTTTGGAAGTAATCAAGTATTCAGGAAAAACAGCCCTGTAGTTAGAGGGACTGGTTTTACTGGTCTCAGATTTCTCACTTATAAAATGGTATAGAATGGAAGCCGGGCGGTGGTGACACAGTCTTTAATCCAAGCACTTGGGAGGCAGAAGCAGGTGGATCTCTGTGAGTTTGAGGCCAGCCTGGTCTACAGAGTGAGCTCCAGGACAGCCAGAGCTGTTACACAGAGAAACCTTGTCTGGAAAAATTAACAAACAAACAGTATGGAATGGAGCTATCCTTCAAACAGCTGCTCTGATTTATGGGGTGGTAAGATTACATGAGATGATACATGTGATCTGGCTACACAGAGTAGGCATATCGTGGACTCAGCTGCTGTGATTAGCACACTGTGGCCATTCTCAGCATTCAGGCTGCAGTTACACACAGACCCAGGGGTCTCTGTGCTGCAGATCAATCTTTTGGGAATCTGCTCAGTAAGCCAGAACCTCATGAATGACTTTAGGAAGCCAGGTGAGCTCTAGTTTGAAGGACCTCCACCCCCACCCCATGTCAGGTCCAAGAGCCATCCATAGGCCTCAGCCTCAGAGTACCAAGCAAACCAGCTGATCTCTGGCTCTGCAGTTGCAGAAAGTTACAGGCTGCTAGCTTCTGCTGCTTCTAGATCTCTCTCCCAAGTTTACTCCTAGGTCTGCATAATGCCCCTCTTTGTGGTCATGTAATTCTGGCTTAAAGATCCAAACAAGTTCTAGCCCAGCTTCACTCTGTCTGTCAGTGTGCCTTTTGTGCTTCCATTAAAGGAGCCCCATGTTTCTGAGTGTACACAGCATGGTACCTGCATGGGGAAGGAAGCAGGGTCAGCTGTCTAGAGCTAGCAGATGCTTTTTTCACAACAGTCCCTTTGCTATGTGAGATCATATAGCATCTTTATCCTCTCCAAGGTCAGTGTGGGGTTCCAGCCAGAAGGCCTTGTGAAGCAAATAGCTTTCTGGATACCCACCCACTCAGGCAGGAAGGTTCAGGATCAGGAGTGGATCAGGTAAAGCCCACCTCCCACCTCCACCGGAGCTTTAACTTTTGCAGCTGATGCTCCTGGGAAGCTGAACCTGAAGCAGTTAGCAAGGGAGTTATCTCAAACCAGCCCCGGAAGTCTCTACAGGAACACTTTTTAGGCAGCTCCTCTAAATGTCCCCAGGGCATGCAACTTTTCCTAGAAGCGTCCAGCCGAGCCTATGAGTGATGTCACGGAAAAACTGGTGTTCTCCCTCCTCCTGCTCCTCCCTCTCTCAGAAGACTCCTGAGAGGGTAGGGTCTTGCAAAAGCCCCTTCTTATTGGCTCCTAACCACCTCGACCCTTCTTCCCGTTCTGACAGTGCTTCACCTTTGGCCTTGACCCTTTGGTCCATCTGGGAGGACGATGCAGAATGTATGACAGAAGGGCCCAGTTGAGGCTGTGCTGCGGGTGCTTCAGCAGGATGCCTACTCTATACTAAGCCTAGCCTGATCCTGGTCACCCCTGGAGGCCACTCCCCTTCCTGACAAAGGCTGCTCACATTTCCCAAGCAAACTCTAGCCCAGAAAGGGTTGGCTCACCTGGTGTAAGGGCAGCCTAGTTATCTGAGCCAGGACACCCTTGAGAACGAAGTCTCAAGACCAAGACCCTTCCTTGATCTGCCTGGCTCACGCCACCACCCCTCTGTCGCTTTTTAAGAGAACTCTGAGGGCCGAATACGTCCGAATTGGGGGTTGGTGTCTTACCCAGCTACTGCTGCCTATGGGACATTGCCCTCCCAGCCAAAGAATGAGTTCTCGCCTCATCTTTCGTATTGCCCAGTTGGGGCCAGCTGGCTGAAGGACCCCAAAGAGACGCAGCACTCCTATCGGTGCAGTAGAGGGCCGGGACCCCCCAGTTTTCAAGCCCCTCCCTCTAAAGATGACAGCTTGCCCGCCTCTCGCCTCCCCCAGGCCACGTGGGTTGGCAGTCGAACTCACCTGTTTCTTGGGGGAACACAGGACCTACCGAGAGTGCCAGTCACTGCCCTCTGCCAGACCCCTGGGGGGCTATGAATGTCCAGCCGTGCCTGGGCTGAGGGTGCAACTTCGTGGGGCTACCGCCCCTGGAGGATACAGACATGGCCACAGCGGAGGAACCGATCTCTCCTGTCCGACCCTTAACCGGCCACCGGCGCAGGAAGACAGCTTTCACCGGCCTCTGGTGGCGGAGGCCCGGTTTCAGCCGCTTGGCCAGTCCCAGCCCGCTCCTCGGTGCATTGTGGGAAATGTAGTCCGTAGTTCTCCGCAGCCTAAGCACTGAGGGAGCGGTTCCGGGCTCCGGAGCCCGGCAGAGCCAGAGGCGGGGTCTGACCCCGTCCCGGGTTGCCTCACCTGGCACCGCCTTCTTTCGTGTCTTAGAGGCCGGTCCCTGCCCCTCCTCTCTAGTAAGAGGTTTATTTCAAGGGACTGTAAAAGATGTCAGTATTTCCCCACTGATCGTGGAAGGAAAATGTAAGTTTAGGGAGCTGGATAAATGTCATTAGTGAGCCCAGCCACACTGACTGTAAAGGATGTGGACATATCGAAAAGGCACACGAATTGTTGCTTTAAAAATTGTTGCTTACTCTGGTCTCAATATATTAGTATAAGAGTCTAGAAGGCGCAGTTCTCAACGCTTCACATAGACTGACCTGGGGTGCTTTTGAAAATACTTAATACCCAGACACCACCCCTAGAGATTTTTACTTAATTGGATGCATGTGGGGAACTAGGCATCGGATTTGTTTTTTAAAGCTACCGGCTGATTTCTAAGGGCAAGGAACTACTGCTTGTAATTTCCTACGTACAAAGTAACAAAAACAGGAAAACAAGTTTCCGAGCAGCCTTTACTTTTGGAGTACAGTTTAAAGAAGTAAAATCAAGCCGGGCGGTGGTGGCGCACGCCTTTAATCCCAGCACTCGGGAGGCAGAGCCAGGCGGATCTCTGTGAGTTCGAGGCCAGCCTGGGCTACCATGTGAGTTCCAGGACAGGCGCAAAGCTACACAGAGAAACCCTGTCTCGAAAAACCAAAAAAGAAAAAAAAAAAAAAAAAAGAAGTAAAATCAGGGAATAACAATATTATTGATATTTTCTGTGAAGCAACGTGCTCACTTCTTTAGCTTCATGGTGAAGTATCCCAATAGTTCGGGGTGAATGACAAAGTCGGAAACCTCTGATTCTTCCTTGCTGTTGGACAAGCACCCTCAGGTGGTTGGTCCCCTGTGTCTTATTCGGTCCTGTCCAGAACTTGGGGAGATCTGTGTCTCTGGCCATTCAGGACCTGTCTGTATGTATGACTGACATGGTGACAAAGTTGTGACCTCTTACTGGAGATCGTTCACACAGGGTTATTAGAACCTTGCATGCTGGGTAAGGGAAGCTTCCCATATGAGAAAAAGTTCATTCCCTTGGAATGGAGGGAGAGAGAAGGGAAGTGGAGCTTCTTCAAGTCTTCACAGGTCTTTCAGTATTTTCCCTCTTTGCTAGCTCAGGGTTCCAGGTTCCCTACCTTGAGGCAAATATAAATTTATACAGTTTTGCTCTGTATACTTAATTTCATATTATTTTATTGTAGGAGTGTTTCCAGATATTTGATTACACTGTGTAAAGATGTGTCACTGTGATTGGTTTAATAAAAAGCTAAATGGCCAATAATATCTAGGCAGGACTTCCAGGCAGAGAGAGAAAGCAGGAGGAGGCTCGGAGACAGATGCCAGGAGACATCAAGAGGAAACAGGAGGTACAAGGTGGAAGAGAGGTAATGCCACGTGATAGAACATAGATTAATAAATGGGTTAATTTAAGTTATAAGAGCTAGTTAGGAATAAGCTTATGCTGTAGGCCGAGCTTTCAAATTAAATTTTCATTAATTAAATTTCATAATCTGTCATTATTTGGAAGCTGGCTGGTAGGACAGAGAAATACCCCTTACAATGGAGTCTAAGGCAAGAATTTTCTTTGTGTGATGATGGGGATTGAACCCAGAGCCATGCCAACAACTACTCTACTATTGAGCCTCAGCCCTAACTCTAGAACAGTGGTTCTCCACCTGCAGGTCTTGACCCCTTGGGGGTCACATGTCAGATATTTATATTATGATCCATAACAGTAGCAAAATTACAGTTATAAAGTAACAACAAAAATAACTTTATGGTTGGGGGTCAGCACAACATGAGCAACTGTCTCAGCATTAGGCAGGTTGAAAACCACTGCTCTAAAAGATCTTTTTTTTTTTTCCTTCAGTTTTTTGAGACAGGGTTTCTCTGTGTAGCCCTGGCTGTCCTGGAACTCACTCTGTAATCCAGGCTGGCCTCAAACTCATAGATTTGCCTGCCTCTACCTCCCAAGTGCTGGGATTAAAGGCGTGCGCCACCACTATCTGGCTCAGAGTCTCATTCTTTTTTTATGTGTATATATATGTTCTGTGTTCTATGGTCTGTGTTCATAAATGTGCACATATGGGTGGGAATATGTACAGGGGTGTGTGTGTGTAGGCCAGAGGTGTAGCTGGAGTTTTCCTGCCTGGCCCACAGTCAGGGCAAATCTCTCTCACCCGCCAGTCCCAAGCCGCTCAAACCCGATCAAGTAAACACAGAGACTTATATTGGTTACAAACTGTATGGCCGTGGCAGGCTTCTTGCTAACTGTTCTTACAGCTTAAATCAATCCATTTCTATTAATCTATACCTTGCCACGTGGCTTGTGGCTTACCGGTACTTTACATCTTCCTTATCCTGATGGTGGCTGGCAGTGTCTCCTACTCAGCCTTCCACTTCCCAGCTCTATTCTCCTCCTTGTCCCGCCTATACTTCCTGCCTAGCCAATGGCCAATCAGTGATTTATTTATTGACCAATCAGCAACACATTTGACATACAGACCATCCCACAGTATTACTATAATGGGTATTACTCTAACCAGCTTCAACTGTCAAGTTGACACATCCTACAGTCAACCAAAAAGTGAGTCTCAATGAGGGACTTCCCAGATCATACTGACCCATGAGCATCTCTGTAGGGAATTGCTTTGATTGTTAATTGATGTAGGAATGCCCAGCCCATTGTGGTTAGTACTATTCCCTGGGCAGGTGGTCCTGGGCTGTAGCTCAAATTCTAATTGGTCTTAATAATAAAAACCCAGAGTCAGATATAAGGATGAATGCTGAAAGATCAGAGAAGCAGAGCAACCAGCCAACAGAGTTCTTACCTCTATAAATCCTCAGACTGAAAAAGGAGTGAGCTCTTGTTATATTTCTCTCTCTGCCCAGCCAGATCACTGCCTGTCTCTACCTCCCTAGTGCTGGGATTAAAGGCCTGTGCCTCCAAAGTACTGGGATCAAAGGCATGAAATCCCTAGTGCTGGGATGAAAGGTGTGGCTCTGTTTCTCTTTTAGACCAATCAATCTCCTGTAGCTCAGGGTGGCCTTGAACTCCTGATCTTCCTGTTTCCTCCTCCCAAATGCTGGGATTAAAGGTGTGTGATCCCAAGTACTGGGATTAAAGGTGTGTGCCACCACTGCCTGGCCTCTATGGCTAACTAGTGGCTTAGCTTTGCTCTCTGATCTCCAGGCAGCTTTGTTAGAGCACAAACAATCACTACACTGGGCAACCTAAGAAAGCTAACTAAGCATGAGTGGGTGAGCCACTGAGCAGCATGTGTTCCTTCATGGTTTCTGCTTCAAGTTCCTGCTTGAGTTCCTGCTCTGACTTCCCTCAAGGATTGACTGTAACCTGTAAGCTGAAACAAACCCTTTCCTCCCCTAAACTGCCTTTGGTCAGATGTTCTATTGCAGCAGCAGAAAGGGATGTCTGTCCACTTTATTTTTGGGACAGGGCCTCTCAGTGGGCCTCATTGGAGCTCACCATTGATTAGACTGGCTTGGCCAGCAAGCTTCAGGGATCCACCTGAACCGGTAGCCCCAGCACTGTGGTTAAAGATGGCCACCAGTGTGCTTGGCTTTCACATAGGTGTTGCTCATACTTGTGTAATGAGCACTTTACCCACTGAGTCATTGCTTTTCCCAGTCCTCACTCCTGTTCCTAAGTGCAAAAGCCCCATCAGATGTGAGTACCGTATTCACAGAGTAGTCTGTCTACTTGGATAAGTAAGTGACCATACAGCCACACATTTCTAAGATCTGTGCTAGAACACTCTTAGAAGCAAGCCACTATGGCTACTTGTTAAAACATCTTGTTTGTTTGAAGACAAGTTTCATGTAGCCCAGGCTGGCCTGCACTCCTGATCCTCCTGTTTCTACCTCTCAAAGTGTTGATTACAATTGAGTGGGTTTTTTTTTCTTCCTGTGCACAGGCAGATGTCTGTGAGTCCCAGGCCAGCCTTTCTATAAAGGAGTTCCAAGACAACAAGGGCTGTATAATAAAGCCCCTTTCCCCCATGCCCTCCACCCCCGCAAAAGAATATATATATATTATATAAAATTTTGTTTTGTTTTTTTGAGACAGGGTTTCTCTGTGTAACAGTCCTGGCTGTCTTGGAGCTCACTTTGTAGACCAGACTGGCCTCGAACTCACTGAGATCCACCTGCCTCTGCCTCCTAAGTCCTGGGATTAAAGGCATGTGCCACCACTGCCTGGCAAGCTTTAGGTATTTTGATAACCTGAATCATACAAGAAACTGTGACAGCAGGACAGTGGTGCTACATAACTTTAATCCCAACACTTGGGAAGCAGTGACAGGCAGCTCTCTGAGTTAGAGGCCAGCCTGGTCTGCAGAGTGAGTTCCAGGACAGCCAGTGCTACATAGAGAAACCATGTCTAAAAAAAAAGAAAAGAAAGAGAGAAAAGAAAGAAAATTGATAATCTGTAATGGTGCATTATAAAAGGACCAGGAAAGTAAAGTTGCCAGGCTCCCCCATGAACTGTATTTATGATTTAATTTTTTTTTTTTTTGGTTTTTCGAGACAGGGTTTCTCTGTGTAGTTTTGCGCCTTTCCTGGGACTCACTTGGTAGCCCAGGCTGGCCTCGAACTCACGGAGATCCGCCTGGCTCTGCCTCCTGAGTGCTGGGATTAAAGGCGTGCGCCACCACCGCCCGGCTACAGCTACTAATTTTAAATGGTTACAGATAATTAAGACATGAAAGTTAATGGTCAATCACCTTATGAATTCTCTAATCTTCTCAGAACTATGCTTGTAGCCATGCTAAGTTCAAATGTAATTAATTTACAATAACAAACTTTATTTAGCCTCCTGTATGTGGCTTTTTTTTGTTTTTGTTTGTTGGTTTGTTTGTTTTTTC